CAGAAGACTGATTTTTAACAAAAGCCAATTCTAAAATTTATATGGAAATGCTAAGCACCTAAAGTTTCCAACATAACTTTGGGAAAGAATAATGAAGTTGAAGAATTTACACTATGTTAATACTATGAAACTACTATAATCAAATCAGTCTTACTGAAATAAGGGCAAATACATAAATCAATGAAACAGAATGGAGTAATAGGAACACATGCACACACATATGGTCAATTGATCTTTTTGCAAAAATGCTAAGGTAATTGCATAAAGGTATTCAAAATGGTTAAAAAAAATTACTCCATATGATGCAAAAATTATTTTGAAATGGATCAAAGACAAATATAAGGCTAAAACAATAATATTTCTAGAAGAAAACACTTGTGACCTTAATTTTGTCAATGATTTCTTACAACACCAAAAGGATGAACTCATAAAAGGAAGATGTGTTAGAATGGATTTTATCAAAATTCAAAGCTCATGCTCTCAAAAAAACACTATTATGAAAAGGCAAGTCATGTACTAGGAAAAAATATTTTAAATAAATACATTTTTTAAAGATGTATTTATTTATGCATATAAAAGCTGGGCACAGACCAGAGATTGGGGGGGTGAGAGGTTCCACCAAAGACAGAGTGGGGAACAGAACAGCTGGATTGACTGAAATACACTGCTGAGGGGAGCAGCGGGCGAGACAGGAGAGGTCTGCCGCACCATGTGGGTAGCTCCCTGGCTGGCCAGGGATCGAACTCGTGCTACAGAGGCTGTAGATTGCTTCATAGTGCGGTGCTTAACTCCTTGCACCACCTGGGAGGCCCTTAAATAAATATTTTTGATAAAGCACTTATGTCCAAAATACATAAAGGACTTCTACAACTCAAAGTAAGAGTAACTCTTATTTAAAAAAACGGGCAAGACATCTAAAGAGCGGATTTTATAAAAGAGGATATACAACTGACCAAAAACCAAGATAGTTAACATCAGTCAAAAAGGAAATATAAATAAAAACCACAAAAAGATGGTATAATATATGTATGAGAATGTTGACATTAAGAAAATTAACAATATAAGAGTGGTGAGGATGTGGAACAACTGCATTTCCCATACAGGTGGGAATGCAAAATGGTACAGTAATTTGGAAAATAGTTTGGCAGTTTTGTATAAAGTGTTTGTTTGTTTTTTTTTTTGTGGAACCCTCGCCGGTGGCCGGGGAATGAACTGGTGCTGCAGAGGCTGTGGGCAGCCTCGCAGCCCAGCGCTCAACTGCTGTGCCACCAGGGGAGGCCCTGTATAAAGTTTTAATATATGCTTTATTATATAATCCATCAATTCCACTCCTGGAAATAAAAATATGTCCATACAAATACTTAAATGCAAATGTTTGCAGATTTATTTATAATAGTCTAATGAAATGTCTAGGGCCTCCCCTGGTGGCCTAGGCGGTGAGCGCAGTGCTGTGAAGCTGTCCACAGCCTCAACAGTGCCAGTTCGATCCTCACCGGCTGGTGAGGGTTCCACATGGAGTGTCAGACCTCTCCTGTTGCGCCCACTGGTCCCCTCAGCAGTGTGTTTCATCAGTCTGCCTGTTCTGTTCCCCGCTCTGTCTCTGGTGAATTGCCTCACACTCCCGTGCATCTGGCCTGTACCCTGGTTCTTGGGTAAATGAATAAATAAATCTTTATTAAAAAAATGAAATGTCTAACCAAAGTTATATATTCATTATTTAAACTAGCATGTTTATGTATTTATATGTGACAAATATAAATATATGTGATGTAAGTATGACATATAGTCACATGTCACTTAATGATGTCAATGCAGACCACATATATAACAGTGGTCCCATAGGCTATGCTGTGTAGTCTAACAATGAAATTGCTTACTATTTCTCAGAACTTATTTCCCATTAGTCAATGCAAATACAACCAGTTGTTGGGGATTCTGAGAAATGCATGGTTAAGCAATTTTGTCACTGTATGAACGTCACAGAGTGTGCTTACACAAATCTAAGATGACATAGCCTGGCATACTTAGGTTATAGATGGGGACCACTGCAGTATTTGTGGTTCACTGTTGACAGATACACTGTCATGTGGTACATTATTTTATATTTAGAAAAGGGACTATTACTCAGCTATGAAAAAGGAACCACTACTGTTTCACCAACAAGGATAAGTCTCAAAGCACTCTGCTAAATGAAAAAAGCCAGGCACAAGACACAGTGACTATATGATTCTGTTTAAATGAAATTCTAGGAAAGGTGAAACTGTGGTGACAGAAAGTTAATCAACTGTTGCCAGAGGCAGTTAACTTATAAAGAGGAATGAGGAAATTTCAGGGTGGGATGACAGAAATCTCTACCTTGATTGTGGTAGTGATCATACAATTACACACAATTGTTATACATATAACAATGGAGAATGTTATTGTATGTAAATTATGTCTCAGTGAAACTGAAAAAAAAATCCTGACTCAAATGGAAACAACTGAGTAGATCTATAACTATTAAGCAAACTGCAACAGTTTAAAAATCAAGGCAGTCCCACATTGCTCATTCACTCATTTACTCACTCACTCATTACACACTGAGTTCCTACATTATACCAGGGATGACTATATAGGAGTACAGATTTTGCAGCAACCACAACAGGCAAAGTTCCTGCTTTCTTGGAGCTTATATATTGTGTTTGGGAAGAAAGAGCACAAACCAAAGCTGATGCCAGTGATGGGTCCTATAAGGGGAAAAGTGATTATGGGACAGGAAAAGCAGATGCTATTGGTTCTCTGGGAAGACCTCTTCCATAAGATGACATTTGAACAAAGACTGGATTGGGGGTTACGGTGGGCAGGCACACACATGTCCCCTACATGGGGAACAGTAAAGGCAAAGACTCCAAGTCACACACAAGGAGTGTGTTTGGAGTTTTAAAAGTACAGACAAAAGAAGTTGATGTGGCTTGAGCAGGGTTAGGTAGTGGACAGTAGCAAAGGCTGTGGTCAGACAGGTTGTCAAGGGCTTTGAGGCCATGGAAGGATCTTGGCTCTGAGTGAAATGGGAAGTCATTGGCCTAAGTGTCCTAGCAGAGAAGCAACAGATCTGACTGTTTAAAAGGACTTTTCTGGCAGCTGCAGCTGTGTATACAATAGACTAGAGGTATACTAGGGAATTTTTTCTGTAAAGGGTCATATGGTAAATATTTTAGGCACACAAACCATCAGGTTTATGTCAAGACTACTCAACTCCACTGTTAGGAGTGAAACAGCCACATATAATAATATGTAAATGAAGGTGTAACTGCTTTAATAAAACCTTATTTATAAAAACAAGCCCTGGGCAAGATTTAGTGCTGTCATTTGTTTACCTTTGGAACAGACTGCAGGGATCAAGGGTGAAGGCAGGTAGATCAGCTAGGAAGTCCTGCAACAAAGTTGAGCAAGAGGTCATGGTCTTTCTAGACCAGTGTAGCAGGGAAGGGGTGAGATGTGGTCAGACTGCAGTATATTGTGAAGCGGAGCCAACAGAATTTGCTAGTGGATCAGATATGAGGAGTTAGAGAAAGAGGCTTTTGTCCTAATTGGAAGAGCAGCTATTTACTGGGAGAAGATCAGGTTTGGGAGTGGAGGAAGAGATTATAGAGAAAAAAAAAATCTGGATTTAGACAAGTTTGGATAGCTATCAAATAATCGAGTGGAACAGAGGATCTGGGGCATAAGAGCAAGAGAGCAAGGCTGTAAAATTAAGAGAAGTAAAATTAAGAGTCTTCGTTCGGATAGCTCGTTTTTAAAGCCGTGGGAATGGGTGCAATTGCCCTAGGAGACATGAGGGGTCATGAGTGATTTCCATAACCAGAGGAAAAAATAGGGTTGAGGACACTTTTACAGAAGTGCCTCCCGGATTAGACAGACAATCCTCCTTATACCCATCATTCCACAGCATAGGAGCTAACCTTCCTCCCTCAGTTCATGATGCCTGATACTCAAAGCAAACTAAGGAATTTATAGCCCAACCTCTTATGAGTATATAAAATCTTTAAAGTCTTAATATATCACAAAGCAAAAAATAGAAATTTGTGATAAGATCAAGTAGTATTTATCTGAACACTGCAAAGCTTGTTGAATATAATTCTTGCGACAATTTACCACATTGAAAATTAAAGAATCCATATGACTAGCAAAGCATTTGATAACCATTCATGATTGAAGAAGTTCAAAGCCAGTTTGGGGGGACTTCCTTTACCTGACAAGTGTTATCTACCAAGCATGTGAGAGCTAATGGAGAAACATTAGAAGTTCCTTGTAGTTTTTAACGAATGCTCTAAATGATGAGCTCTGCTCAATCAACTTCTTGTATCATAATCTGATTCAATAATTTTCATGAGCCATCTTGTTTGCATCCGTAAACTTTTTTTTTGGTAGGACCCTTGCCTGCGGCTGGGGAACGAACTGGTGCTGCAGAGGCTGCGGGCAGCCTCGCAGCCCAGCGCTCAACCGCTGCGCCACCAGGGGAGGCCCTAGAAGTGTTCCTTTCAAAACAATTAGGAGTGAAACAAGGACTCCGTCACAATCCTTGTCTCTAGTGCTGCACCGTAGTTCCTAGCCAGTTTACTGGGATTTTTAAAAAAAAAGTTGCAAAACTGCCATTATTCACGGTGATGTTTTCCACAGAAAAACTCCAGGTAAATTACTAGAAATAAGAGAACTCCTGGTACAGTCAATCTGGGAATCATCAACAATGGCCTGTCACAAGCAGTACAATTTTAAAATGTGATATTTGAGAAGGTATTTAATTTGCCCAAGGTCACACAGCTAGTAAAGGGTGAACAGACACGGGGGTCTGCCTGCAAGCTTTCAGTGATGTGACATTGGCTCTCCACTCAGAGCTCCTCCAGGAAGCCTGTACAGCCCCCACCCCAGCCCCCAAAACCCCTCTTCGTGTCCTCCCCACCCAGGTGCTGAGGCTGAGAAGGGCACGCAGTGGGCCTTCTAGACCAGCGCTGGAGGCTCACCATGGGAAGCACCGAGGCCCTAAGTGAGGCAATGATGATGGGCTTGGTCTTCTTGTCCTCCTGACCTGCTGGGGGCAGGAGCTCCACGAGGTTCATCTCCTCTTTGGCTTTCTCCCCCAAGCAAATCTGAGGAATGGTGCAAACAGACAGGATCACCTCACCAACCCAAGGACAGAGGAGGGGCACCCTGTGCACCTGTAGGGACCAGAACGCTGCCTGCACCATCCTCCCTCTCCTGGAACCTGACGCACCATAGTCAGCAGCAGCTTACAGTCCTGCTCCCCGTCCTTCCGGGGCTTGAAGGTCCAACTTGGCTTCTCCTTGTTTAGCTCACAGCCTGTGAGGAAGGAGACAGTGGGAAGGATGAAGGGCGCCAGCCTCAGGGGAGGCTTTATCTTCTCTGCAGCCCATTCCCCAGGATGCGGCACCCCCAGCACCTCAGGTGCTCTGAGAACAGCCTCAGGCCTCACTCACCCCAGAGCAAGGCTGTTGTCGCCTTTTCGGAGGTGCAGCTGAGATTCATGTCTCTGGGCAGCCGGGAGCTGTGGAGAAGGGTGCTTGCTGTGAGGCCTGGCCTCCCACCTCTCCTGCTCTCCTGTGAGCCCAGAGCCCTCAAGCTGGCAGGCACACCCACAGGCGCGCCCAGTGTGTTCTCTAAACCAGCTCACCCGAGCCAGAAGCTTCCACAGAGGGTACAAGGGGTGATGAGACCTGCTGCGGGGAAGGCTGCCAACAGGCCCCACTGCCCCCCGCCCCCCGCATCCTGGGGCCTGGACACAGGTACACTCGTCCCCTGGGGCCAGCTCCCCACCCTTCCTCAACAACCTCACCGTCCCTACACCGAGGGTGCCCCTGTTGCCATGGGCTGCTCCGGGAGCTGCGTGCTTCTCTCTAAGGCTCTCTCACACCGGCCTCATCCCGTTTCCGTGTGCCGGGTGCCCACACTGGGGGGTTATTAAGCCTGTAAGGGGAAACTGGGAGGTGCCTAATCAGCCTTAAAGAAGAGACCCATCTGTCCCCATCCCACTCTAAGTTCGTCTCCTTGCCTCAGAAACACCTGGAGGGCTGGTTAAAACAGTCAGTACTGGTTTCAGGTGGAGGAGGTCCGGCTGGGGCTAAGAGAATTTGCATGTCTCCTGGTTCCAGGTGAGTTTGATGACGCTGGCCCTGACCCCTAGGCAATGGCGAAAGCGACTGGCAGTGGGGATTAACCTTAGTTTCCAGCTCCAGGTTGAGAAGCTTAGTGCTGCTTTGTCACCTAGTAGGAGCAGCAGCACTGGCATGTCTTTCTTCTCCTTGCCACCTTCCTTTCTTTTCTCTACCCCAAGTGTGGGTTTTTCTTTTTTTTTTTTAAAGATTTATTTTATTTATTTATGCATACAAGAACTGGGGCATAGGCCAGAAGTGTGGGGGGTGAGAGGACTCACCAGAGACAGTGGGGAGCAGAACAGGCAGATCTACTGAAAAACATTGCTGAGTGGAGTAGGGGGCAAGACAGGAGAGGTCTGCTGCGCCATATGTGGGTAGCTCCCTAGCTGGGGATAGAACTCATGCTGCAGTGGCTGGTGAAATCTTGATAGTGCTGAGACTTAAACCCTGCACCAACAGGGAGGCCCAGTGTGGGCTTTTCTTAAGGCCCAGACGGCTGACCGGACCCACAGGGCTGGATGGAGGTGTTAGTGGGCTGATCCCTGTTTCCAGCAGTGGGGCTGCTCCCCTGCCTGGAAGGGGTGCAGATGAAGAAGTAACCAGGGAGGCAGCTGCAGCAGCTGGTGAATGATATGCCAGGGGCACTGTGAATTTAACAGGATCAGTACTTTGATAAATAACAGAGCACAGGGCACAGTGATGCATGAAAATGTTTGGGTAGGGGGACGTGAAGAACAGGAGGCCCTTCAGCTGACACAACATTCTCTGTCCTGCTCATGGATACCTCTAGGAGTCAGGTAGAAACCGGGATTTTGCTCATTGCATACTTATTCTTCACCCAGGAAACTTCTCACTGAAATGTAAAGTTCATTGATTTTCAACTAAGGTGCCAAAGTAATTCAGTTGGGAAAGAATGGCCTTTTCCAAAAGGAATCAGGAATCAGCTTTTTAAAAATATAATCAGTTTTATTGGGGAATGATTTATATATGTGAAAAGTTACATTCACTTTAAGTGTGAAATTTGCTGAATTTTGACAAACGTATACAGCTGTGTAGCCATGACCACAGTTATTTCCATCACTCCCCCCAATTTTTGTTTCCCTTCTCATTGTCTTTCCCTTAAAGCCTAATTTGCATTAAGTAGCACTTTTCTGTTTTCTGACACTATAAATACTGTTGTAGAATTTCATGGAAGTCTGTAAGTCGAATCAGAGAGAGATCTTCTGTCTGCTCTTTGGCTGAACAAAATGTATTTGAGATTTATTTATCCATCCACGTTATTGCTTGTATTAGTAGTTTGTTTCTGGTTTTTTGTTGAATAATAGTCCACAATTTGTATATCCAGTCACCTGCCTGTCAATTTTACATGTCAACTTGGCTAGGCTATCATGCCCAGTTATTTAATTAACTAATTGTAGGTGTGGTTATGATGGTATCTTTGTAGATAAGATTACTATCTATAATCGGTTGTCCTTATATAAAGATTACCTTTGATTATGTGGGTAGGCCTTATCTGATTTGTTGAAAAGCTTTAAGAGCAGAACTGAGGTTTCCCTGAAGAAGTTATTTCTGTGGACAGCAGCCTTAGCTCCTGCCAGAGAGCTTCCAGCCTGTTCTTCCCGAAGACCTCCCCTATAGATATCAGACTTGCCTAGCCTGTCCCAAAAACTGACATTAGCCTCTTTCTTGTAATGCAACCCTGACTGGTACACCTGTTGATGAGCATTGGGGTAGTTTCCAGCTTTAGACTACTATAAATAAAACTTCTGGGAACATTTGAGAGCAAATCTTTGTGTGGACATATTAGTCTTGGATAAATCCCTGGGAGTGGAATTGCTGGATAAGCATATATTAAACTTTATGTAAAACTGCAAAACCATTTTGCAAATTGTACCATTTTGCATTTCTACCAGCAATTTATGAGAATTTGAGTTGTGCTACATGTTGGTCTATACCTGACACTGCTGGTCTTCTAGTGGATATATGGTGTTATTTCTTGTGGTATTTATTTGTATTTCTTTGATGACAAGTGATGCTGAACATCTTTCAAGTATTTATTGGTGATTTGTACATCTTCCTCTGCAAAAGTATGTTCAAATATTTTGTTCATTTTAAAATTGGGTTATTCTTATTGAGTTGAAGGCATTCTTTGTATATCCTGGATATATTTTGTCTCAAATATATGTATCCTCAGTATTTTCCACTCCTGAGTATGGCTTGACTTTTCATTTATAAAAATGGTTATCTTTTTGAAGAGGAGAAATTTTAAAACTTGATGAAGTTCAAGAATTTTTTTCATTGATTCCAGCTTTTGGTGTCTTAAAAAATATTTGCTTAATCCAAATCATGAAAAGTTTTATCATAGAAGTCTTTTAGTTTTAACTTTTATTTTTATATCTATGATACATTTGGAGCTAATTTTTATGTATGGTGTTGGGTGAGGGTCAAGGTTCATTTTTCTTCTGAATTCCAGTTCCTCAAGCACTAAAGGAAAAAAGAAAGACCATCCTTTCTCAGTTGAGTTACCTTGGCACTTTAGTAAAAAACAAATTACCCATATATGTTGGTCAGTTTCTAGACTTAATTCTGTTCCATGGTTCTGCTCTGTAGTTCAGTTTGGGAGAAACGACATCGCAATCTTGACTTATTAAGTCCATGAACATGTTATAGTCTCTCCATTTATTTAGGTCTTTTATTTTCTTTAGCCATGTTTTGTAGCTTTTAGTGTGGCACGCAGTGTGTAAGTTTATTCCTATGAATTTCATGTTTTTGGATGCTACAGTGAATACTATACATTGAAAAATTTCCTTTTCTAGTTCATTTTCAGCACACGCAAATGTTGATTTTTGTATATCAGCTTTGTATGCTTTCATTTTGTTAAGTTCGCTTGTTAGTTTTTGGATTTTTTTTTTGGTAGTCCAAATCTTATCTGTGAATAGTTTTACTTCTTCCTTTGATCAGCATGCCTATTATTTCTCCTTTTGGCGCCTCTTTGTTTTGGTTTAAGGACAATGATAGAAGCAATAAGAGTGGACATTGTCTTGTTCTTGATCTTAGGGAAAACATTTAATCTTTCACCTTTAAGTATGTTAGAGGTAGGCTTTCCACTGGCGTCTTTTAGCAGTTTAAGAATATTTCTTTCTGTTCCCAGTTTGCTAAGACGTTTTTGGCATGAATGTGTGTAAGATTTTGTCAGGTGCCTTCTCTTTATTGAGATGATCTTTCTCCTTTGTTAATATAGTGAAATACATTCATTGATGGTTTCAAAATGTTAAACTAATATTGTATTGTTAGGATCAGTCTCACTTGGTCATTATGTATTATGCTTTTTTTTTAAGATTTTATTTTTGCTAGATGTAGAAAAACTGGGGTGCAGGCCAGAGGTGGGGGGTGGTGAGAGGATGCATGAGAGACAGAGTGGGAAACCCAACAGGAAGACAGACTGAAATATACTGCTGAGGGGAGCAGGGGGTAAGACAGGTGGGGTCTGCTGCACCGTGTGGGTCAGCTCCCTGGCCCGAGATGGAAGTGAGGCCGCTGTGATGTCATAGTGGTAGCGCTGAGACCTAACCCCAAGGCCACCAGGGAGGCCCTGATATATTATTCTTTTATTTTTGGACTTGGTTTTCTTATATTTTGTTATGGATTTTAGATTTTATGTTCACGAGAGCTATTAATCTATAAAGTTTTTTCTTTTAATGTCCTTGGCCTCGGTATTAGTGAAATGTTTGTTTCATAAAGTGATTAGGTGTTCAAAACTCTTCTATTTTCTGATTTTTTGTGCGACGGGTACTTCTGTAGGAATCAGCTGTGATTTCTCAGGTGCTCTGCACAGTGCAGCAGGGAAATATCCTGAGACCTCAGTTTCGCTGGCTGCGCTCTCCCCCATGCTGCTCCTTGCTTCCTTTTCCTAGAAGGGCAGGAGGCCTTGCAGGTTTCGGTGTTTTTCAGCGTCTTCTTCCGAGGGACTCATTCAGCGAGGGCTCCCAGCGCGTGGGGGTCGCTCCTGCTCCCCGAGAGCCCTGGGCCAGGCAGCCATCCTCGTCCTGCCTGCCCACCGCACGGCTCTCCCCAGCTGGGGACCGAGTCCCTAACATAACCTCTGCGATTCACCGCGGACACCGGGTGAAGCCACGTGCGAGTGGACTCGAATCTCTCCCGGCACACAGTCCCGTGGGGGCTGCGGGCAGCAGAGCGCCAGCTCAGCCCGGAGGCTCCCCCGAAGCCGCGACACTCCTCCGCGCCGCCCCGCCCAGGGCCCGCAGGCGCAAAAGTCTTGACTGCGCCTGCGCAGGGCGTCGCAGGCCGAATGAGGCGGCGCTGAGCGTCCTAGTGCGCAGCCGCGGCGGGGCGGCCGGGGCGGCCTCAGCGCCCTTCCGGGGCGCGGTGAGCCCGCGCGCGCTGCGGAGCCCTCTCGGCCGTCGGCTTTTTCTTTTCTTTGCGGGGTCCTGGGGGAGGGCGTCAGAGGCGCTTGCTCTTTTCTTTTCGGCTGACGCCTGTGACCGTGTGAGCTTAACTCGCCCTAACCAGGCAGCCGGAGGGCTTCTGTGCGGGGGCGTCACCTGCAGACCCTCCCCGCACCCGACACGCGTCCTTTTCATTCATCATCGTCTTTTTTGGGCGGCCTCGGCTCTGCAGTTTTGCTCGCTGAGACCGGGAGGGGCCAGGTTTAGGGTTACCTCAAACCCCTGAGTAGGCCTGAGACTTGGAGGGAAGGTGATACAGGGGAGGACTTCAGAGAGGGAGGGGGCTTGGTGTGGTTGTAGAAAGGGCAGGGAGTTGACTAAGAAGACAGGGTTCTGCAAACTGGAAAAAGGCCCCGCACAGCACGCAGAGGCGGTGATGGCGATTTCTACTTGAATGGAAGGGAGCCCCCGCGCCTTCAGAGCTGATTGGCTGTTTATAACTTGATTTGCTTTGTGACTCGTTCCAGATCGCCAGGTGTTAAAGGGTAGGGAATTGGTTTTCTAGTCGATAGAAACGGTAATGGACTGTTACATTCTTTTTTTAAAAAAAAAAGATTAATATATTCATGCATACAAGAGCTGGGGTACAGGCCAGATGTGTGGGGGGGCGAGAGGATTCGCCAGAGACAGAGCGGGGAGCAGAACAGGCAGACTGATGAAATACACTGCTGAGGATCCTGGCTGCCCGGGATCGAACCGGCGCTGTAGAGGCTGCGGACAGCCTCACAGCGCTGTGTTCAACCGCCTGCGCCACCAAGGGAGGCCCCTGGTCCGTTATATTCTTAAAGTAAAAAGTGGTTTCGTTTTCCTTAATTTTCCAGCTGAAGTAATTCAGCTTCCAGAGGATGCTTTACCTTCATCACACAGAAGAGCTGAGACGACCTGTTTGTTCTGAGATGCTGTGCTTGTACATTCACCCACCTTTTTATTACTATTGAACTATATTGTGGCCACTCTTTACATAGGCAAATCTGTTGTCCTCCAGACCTTGAATCTGATGTGCAGATTTGCTTAATTTGCAACCCAGTAGCAGTTGTTAGGAGTACCCCCCCCCACCCCGTCTTCATTTCTTGGCAGCCTCAATAATGGGATGGTTTGGGCCATGTAGGTGATGCTTAAGTCTATTATGAATCATCAATCTTCGTGGTCATCACACAGAATTAAAAAATCTATTTGTGTGGTGCTTGTGTAAGTATAGTTTATGAGGACTCTGGAGTTACTCAGGTTCTTACACCAAAGAATGAAAATGCATTTGCCTTGTGAATGGTTTTTTGTTTTTGTGTTTCCTTTTCTCTGGCTGATGGTCAAAAAGGCATTTGCCTACAGTGGGTGCTTTTTAAGTATTTGACAAAGATAGCAGCAGGCTGCCTTCAAAACCACAAGGTTTTTGGGGCCTCTCTGATGGCACAAGGTAAGTCACAGCACTCTGAAGCTATCCACAGCCATGCAGCACAAGTTCGATCCCCGGCCGGCACAGCAGACCTCTCCTGTCTCGCCTGCTGCTCCCCTCAGCAGTGTATTTCAGTAGATCCACTTGTTTTGCTCTCCACTCAGTCTCTGGTGAATCCTCTCAAACCCCCGCCCCCACACTTCTGATGTACACCCCAGTTCTTGTATGCATAAATAAGTAAATCTTAAAAAAAAAAAAAACCCACAAGGTTTTTTGAGGAAGGGCACTAATATTCCATACTGGAGTTTACCCTCCACTCTGATCATTAATGTCCCATTGTCTGGCAGCTAATTAGCTGACCCAACTGCTCCTGTAATACACCAAAGTGGCTGAGCAATGTATTGGAGGGTTTTCAAGCTGCCCAAGATAGATAAATGGACCCAGGAAACAAGCTACTGTGGCAAGAATCTTCTTAGATGTTATTTGACAGCTAGATGGCATTTGTTTAATGACGGTTGGTGAGAACATTTTTATCCTTTCAAATTTATTTTTAAAATTAAAGAACTAGTTATAATCATTTACATTTTCAAGCCTTGTCATCAGACTTACAGATTTTGCAGGTTTCCTGTAGTTAATCTTTCTTATCCTTTTTTTTTTGCTTTGGCATTTGGCACTTTTGCAGTGTTAGGTGGCAATTTAGATTTATGAATCCAGCCAAAAATCTTAGGTAGGCGAGGCTGGCTGGAGGCAAGTAGGATATGGAGAGGTGTTCTGGCTCTAGATTCAATTCCTGCTACCCCACGGTCATGAATATTTTGGCAAGTGATCCATTTCTGCACTTGGTTGAAGTTTCATAAAGTACTAGGAGACTTCACTTGTGGAAAAAACGAGTCCTTAAGATAAGTTCGTATTTGCACAGTATAAAACTATTATTTCTTAGTAGATTGTTACTTGTCATTAGAAAATTGACATGTGGCTGAAAGTTATTAATTCTTAAAATCTGAAAACCTAAGATCTGACCCTGGGCCAAATCCCTTCTTTTGTCTGGTTTATCCTTTAGAGGGAACAGATAAACTTGGTAGTGCCAACAAAATGGATGCACGTAATAAAGTAATCTGTAGTAAAGACTGTCAGAAAACTGTCTAGATACATTTGCCTTGATGACCATAGTACCAGGGTAGCCTAGAAATAAACTCACATTTTAACTGAATAAAACTTTTACCTGAATTCTTCGGAACCCCAAGTTAACTGGCTTTCACATTTATTAGATTGAGTCATGTGAAACTGTTGATAATTAACCAGGAAACAAGGCTCTTGTGGGTTGCTCCCTCTTTTGGTTGTCAGTTCAGCGAGGAACAGAAGCTGGATGGGGTTGTAGATCTTAACCGTGGCACTTTGTGGTGACCAGACTCTGCTTAGGGCTCTACTGAGGAAACCACTGTTTTTGCTGAGTTTCTTGTCTCTGACATTGTTTGTGTGGAAAAGAAGGGAGGGGTCTGGTGTTTTGCTGATCAAGTACCTGTGAGAAAATTTTGTCTAATTACTACAGAATTAGAATTCCAGGTTATTGGAATGTGTGACTGGAGTGTTTTGCATATTAATGATGTCACACCATCTTATATTTCTATCAGGCTTAGAGACAGACTTGGCTAAAATGAATCAGTTGCCTTCTAGCTATCAGAATACAATTTTTGTCTTTGAAATAACTTGGGAACAAGAAGGTGCCCAGAAGACTGGACAAGAGACAAAAGTAGCAGTGTCTGTAAATAAAGTGAGCAAGAGTGGCATTTTAGAGCCTATGATTCACTGGATATAAATCTGCATCTAACACTTTATAGCTATGGCCAGCAGCAGATAATATATGTGTATATATATCACATATATATATCAACTAAAACAATCATACTTTTAAAAAGAAATTGTGTCGGATTTAGTCCAGTGAGAAACATGCTAATATAATATGATAAGGTTGAGGGGCCCCAGCACTCCCCGCTGTGTTTTGAGAATGCCCGTTTCACACATCTTCATGTGCTTAGGGAGACACGCTGCTGTAGACACACCAGACTGGACTGCTGAAACCACATCAGTAGAAACCATTGAAGTTTATTGGCGATCACAATGCTTACACTGTATGCAGCAAACACCCTTACAAGTCTATCCGCAACCTGATCACGCAAGAAAGAATTTACCACACAGTCGCCAGAGGAGAAGGGAAAAAAAACCAAACAGCTTTGTTTCTGGGGGTAGAGAAGAGAAATAAAAATAAAACCGAATTTATGAGTGTCCCATGGGCAAGAGCTGAACTAGAGATGCGTACAACTAGCAGCAACGATTGTGGAAAAAGTACAAGGCAAATAGCTTTCTCCATAATTTTCCTCTGTAGGTTAATTTTTTTAAATATTCAAAACATTTATTATGGTTTTCATTTTATAAAAATGTATATTTTTAAAGGGCTAGGAGAATGTTAAATACTTCATGCTAGGCAGACCTTGTTATTAAGAACCCCTCCACTGTAGGAACTTCCTCCTGTTCATACATTCATGAGTGCAGGGCAATATATAAATATCCACACGCACACCTCCACGCACACTGCCTCGAGGGCTGGGGAAGACTAAAAGTTATTGGCCACGCGCATTGGGCCTCTGGTGGACTCATCCAAATCGCTCAACAGGAGAGCAACTGGCTCACTTCCTTCTCTCTGATCCCTATCTTTAGAGACCAAGAACCCTAAATCATAAAGTTACACCCGACTTTTAAAAGCAAGAGGCATCTGTCTGAGGATGAGGGTAGCAAAGTGGGGGAAAAGGATGAAGCTAAGAACACCAAAACTTTCAGCTGGAGCTTTCCGTCACTGCAAGAGGCCAGGGGACCAGGGCAGCGTCTGTGGTTGCAAGGGGCGGGGTGGTGCTCCTCATGGCTTAGAGTTCCTAATAACAAGGGTAATACAGTAACAGGAAGTGATAGTTTCAGGGGCAAGGAACGGGCAATAAGAAAAAATATACATTTGGAATTTTTATTTTTTTTTTTTGCCTCTCTACACTGTGTCGCTAAATATATCTCTGCACGTTCACACATCCTCGTCCAGTAAAGCTTCAGGCCACCAGAATACACATTTTTTCTCACTCGCATACACAACCCCTCACATCAGCATTGGTGCACTAGACTCTGTAAAAATTTTTCAGTCACACTTTGTTTTTAAACTTGAGTCAATATAAACCTTGTTCAAAATGTTATGAAAAAATGTACATGTTTATACAAGGCAGGTTGTGGCAGGACACTGGGGGTTCTCTCCACATGGGTGGCCCCAGGAGGAGGGGCTGGAGTCTCACACATTTGTGTCTTTATCTCCTCCCACCACCCTTCCCACCCAATCCCCTAGGAACCAGCAGCGCCCTGCCCCCTAGTGAGTGTACTCACACCCTTTAACCTGGGAAAGTAGCTAGCTGACTTCTGCCATTTCCCCCACATCCCTGGAGAAGGGCGCCTGGGTCAGCCAGGCCCTCTCCCTTGCAATTGTTCGCCCCTCTGCACCAGACCAAGGGACGCTGCTCTGTACAGGTAGAGTCCAAGGAGGTGTCAGCTCATCATGTCATTGCTGTTCACGCCGTAAGTGGAGTTCTTCATGGAGTCATTGACTTCTCGACGGAATGCTGACAGGTTCTGGGTGAACCTGCAGAGAGGATGCATGTGGATTGGGGGGAAGGGTCTTTGCCCACAACAGTTCTGGCAGAGAAGCGGGGACTAAGAGGGAACATATGAACTGAAGGGTTCGGTTTCAAAAGACAGTTGGTCTTAATCTTCAGACTTTAAGGGAAAATTAGGCTAGTTTTACACCCCTTTCTGACTGACAACTACACGGCAGTACTCCAGATCTGGTCACATCTGGGGCTCTGAGGGGCCAGCCACCTCTGTTCATAACAGAAGGGGGAAGTAATCTCAAAGATGAAGACAGAAGAGAATGAAGCTGTCTAATTTCTTAACAGAGACCCATAGTATACAACTGCGTTGTGCAATATGGTAGCTGCCAGCTACAACTGAGCATCTGGGTAATGCCCGTGCAGTTGAGAAATTGAATCAAACATCATATAATTTAGTTCCCCAGTAGTTGCCATATTTCAAATTAAGTAAAATTTGAAATTTGAGAAAAACCTGCCATTCAATTCAGTTATTAAAAAACGTCCCAATATGTTTGGAACAACTTGAGTGTGGGACTCTACTTAGGCAACTTCAAATTTTATGAAATCGAAATCTAAATTGATTATTTCCAATGGAAATTTAGCATATAAGTCAAGGTGCTGCTAGCTGCTGAGGACTTACTAAAACAAAAAGTGCTTAAAGTCTCTTTAAAATGCCAATTAATTACAAATTAACACGATACCGTTGGATATGCTGGATTAAATAAAAATAATTGCCCAAGACTCCTGGCAAGGCCTTCCATACTCACCTGTCTCTGTTTTTCGTGAGAAGATTCCGCTCAATGCCCTCCATTAGGTTTTCGAAACAGAGATGCATAGCCTGCTGCTTCTCTGGTGGCTGGCTATTCACGATACTGTTCCTTAGGTCAGAAAAATACTGTGGGGCAAGGAGTGAGAGACAAGGTAAGGAAAGAAGATGGGAAAAGGCAGACTACCTCCCTATCATTTTCAGAGGTGGAGTAATGTTCTCCAAAAATGAAGTAGCTAGTTAAGTGGGTTGCCGCCTGAGGGTCATACATCTCTACTAGTTATGAATTTTACGTTTGTACAGCACTTTAGGCATAATCTGAACATGTTCTGATCTCCATGTACTAACTCTCCTGTACTACTCCTTGTGCTTTGTCTGACCTGCCACACCTGCCGACTTCTAACAGTTAGGTGACTGGTGCTGTTCAAGCATGACTGGGACAAGCTCAATAAATGGGCCACTTGCCCTGTTTCACCAACCTGGGGGTTTCTACAAGCATTTCTCACAGTGCCCTGGAAAGTGACAGCCAGATGTGTGCCTGCCTGCCACTGCTGTGGCGCTGGGCAGCAAGGAGCTGGCTCTCACCTTTTCATTAAGTAGTATCAAGCCAAGCAGGGGCCGGGACATAGACCACTGGTTCCTACAGTCTTCAAAGATGATGATGTTCAGCACCGTTGACAGCATCTGTAAATGAGAAGTTTATTAGGCTCAAAGGCCTTTTCTATTCAGGGTAAATCAGACAAATACTTTATGAAGCTTCATTTTAACCTTTTATCACAAGGTAATAATTTCTTCTAAGATATTTCCTTTCCTGTTCCTTAAATTTATTTGATCATTTATTTAAAAATGGACCTTCTCAGTTCACCCCGATTTTTGTAGGGGATCATATGGGCCAAGCAAACGATTATAGTATGTAGAGTCACTTTACACTATAGATACCAGGTACTTGTTTTAGAGGAGACAGCTTAGTGACATTTTGGGGCTGTGATGGGAACGACTTATTTCATTGCTTCCTTCTAGAGATGACCATGTAGACAAAAGGTGAGACTGGTCAAAATACTATTGACTAAAATCTAATCAATCCCATTTCCTTTTCTGTTTCCTAGCTAGTGTATTTTTGCAAATCTTATGTTTTGAAAAGATGTTACATACAAATAAAACTGATGCGAGGACATGGTTTGATTTCTATGTTTCTATTGTCCTTTATTCTTGTTCCCATTTTGTGGATGGGAGTATAGGCTTTAGGTCTGGTCGTGTCTAGCTCACGCTCCATTTAAGGCTGTGGGTGAGCACACTCATTGTCCTGGAAGGAGGACAGTACTCATGGGGTAGGCTCAAGGCACAGAGGCCAGTGTGACACTCAGAATGGTCATTCAGGAGCTGATTTCTTCAGATTTTCTCTATCTAATGACCACTCAGCAAACTCAGAATCCACTGAAATCTGAAAGCATAAACTCCACTTGGCAGCATTCTTTGGTGAGATGCCAGTCAGACTTAGCATCTTGGTAAGAAACTTAAAGAAAGGTTTCTTCCATGCTGCGACCTGACTTTCAGGTTCTTACCTGCTGGATCATCTCTGGATGCTGCTGCATGATATGCAGAAAGCGGTCGCTCTCTTGGTTCAGCGGTGTTGTCCTCTTCTTGGTGCTACGTGACAGCTGCTTGAAGAGGTATGTTACGATGTGGTCCAGACAGGAGCAGCAGCCTGTGCATACCATGGTGTCTGCCAGAAAGAGAGGAAGGGATAGAACACAGCAGATACTGAGATGGTGACCTGGGCGAACACGGTCTGCCCTTAGCTGAGATCCCATAGGGGTTGGCCAATTCAGCCAAAGTTACTGCTCGGGACACTTCCTGTTACCTCTTACCCTCATCATATAGCAAAGTTCAAATCTAAGTTTGAAAGTATGTCAGACAGTAAAATAAACTATACTGAAATTACTGACTCTACGTGGTATAGATGGATGTCTTCTACTTCATGAAAAAAAGTTTACCCGTAGCCAAGTGCTTCTATTGTACTAAGAACTTTGTGGGCCTCCCCAGTGGCCTAGGGGTTAAGTCTCAGCACTATCGTGCTGCGCCCCGAGTTCAATCCCTGGGCAGGGAGGTAATGCACATTATGGTGCAGCAGGCCTTTCCTGTCTTGCCTGCTACTCCCCTTAGCAGTGTATTTCAGTAAAATCCACCTGTTCTGTTCCCTACTTTGTCTCTGGTGAATCCTCTTACCCACCACACTTCTGGCCTATACCCCAGTTTTACACACACAAAAAAGAAACAAAAAAAACCCCAACTTTGTCATTATCAGTACTTCTAATTTACTATCCTAACAACTCCAGGAGGTAGGTGTATCATTTTACAAATGAGGAAACCAAGGTTTGGAGAGGTTATATGACCTGCTTCAAGATCACCTACTAGTAATTGGTTGATTAGAACTATATTTTAATTGAGGATTAGAATCCAAGAAGTCTGTGATGTGAGCTTCTATTTCTGAATTACCTGGGGGATGGCATTAATATAGCCAGTTCAATATAGCCTATCAACATCTACAGTTGGCTAGAGTGGGGTACCATATTCTTTTTTTTTAAAAAAGATTTATTTATGCATAAAAGAACTGGGGTATAGGACAGAGGTGCGGGGGGGAGGTGGGAGGGGGATGTTGAGCAGATTCACCAGAGACATAGTGGGGAAAAGAACAGGCAGACTGACTGAAATACACTGCTGAGGGGAGCAGTGGGAGAGACAGGATAGGTTTGCTGTGCCATGTGGGTAGCTCTCTGGCTAGCCAGGATCGAACTCATGCTGCAGAGGCTGCAGAGAGCTTCACATTGCTGTGCTTAACCCTTTGCGCCACCAGGAAGACCTAGGGTACTGTATTCTTCATCCAAAGTATTTCAGGGAAAGCTGGGGGGGGCGGGGGCACATACTCATCTCTGCATTTTACAAGAGCTCTGTATCACAGCCCGCGCACACAACTCTGACTAGGTAAGGCAAGGTATAGGCCAGCAATCAGGGGATGAAGCCATCAAATAGTCTTCCAAAGCAGGGCCTGATATCCTGGCTATATTGTCCTAGATATTGTTTCATAACCTACATTAGTAGATATGTGTCAGAGAGGTGGCCGAAAATTGTAGATGACAGCAGACAACTCAAGAATCATTATATATGCATTTACAGTATATCATGAATATTTTGCAGTTGACTTAATCTTCCTATTTATGTTTTGTTCAGTCTAATATAAAGAGTGTTTTATTTTCTGAACATGTATATACCTACTAGGATTGCAGGAAGGCAGCCTAGCAACAAAATGGTTGACAGGAACCATCTGGAGTAGGATGAAAAAACTCTGGAACCTAACTGGATAAAACCTGTCCATAGGTTGCATAGCCCTCGGGATAGAATGCAAACATCCTAACATGGCTTATAGCCCCTCTCTGTGATGTTCAGATTTGCCCCTGCCTATTTCTCTTTCTAGCTTTACTTCATTCCTCTCCAACTCTTCTGCAGAACCTGCCAGTCATCGAGATTTCCCTGTTCTTTCATGCCTCCAGGTGCTAGTACCTGTTAGGGATCCACCCCCCAGACCACAACCCCATAGCATTTTGTACTCATCCCCACTGTAGTATGTAAACAGGCAGTTGTCTGTGTGTCTGTTTAATCTACCACATAAAAGCTGAAGGACAGGGAATCTATGTTGTTAATACTGTGCCTTTTTCGCTTAGTGCAGTATCTGCCTGGTCCTCAGGAGGGGATCAATAAGTATACACAGGATCAGAATGTACCCATGAGTTACATACTCTGTTGTGAGGGCCAACTCCCCAAGCAATAATCCTTTTGGATTATTGCGGGCAAGAGTCTATCTTTCTTGCCCACCCACCCAGGTACTTACCAAGTGCTGTAAGTCCTTCAGAAATGGAAGAGAGAATATACATGATGACATGAGGTTCCAGGCTTGCAATAAAGTTCATGTGGTCCTGAGTCAGGACTTCCAGTAGTGAGTAGTAAGATTGGCTGAGTTTGGGGTAGTCCTGTGGGAGGATGTTGAAAATCACTTTAGTTGTTGTGTGTACTTAAGCACGCAGAGAGCAAGATCTTAGTTTAGTTCCTGCCAGCTGGGAAGACCTACTTATAGCAGAAAGAATCTGGATTCTAGTCTTCCACAGAAACATTCAATCATGGTCTTGGATCAGTGAAGCTTAAGGCTTACCAGGAGATCACTGTGGGGAATAGAGAGCAGCAACTTGATGAAGGTCTGTAGAGCATTGTCCAGGGCATCATCTCCATAGAGACGGAAGACTCCAAAATTGACGTAACTCCCACTGAGGGCAGCCTTCAGCATGGAGAAGCAGATGGAGATGCCCTTGAGCTTCAGTGCATACACCTGATCCTTTGGGAGTTCTCCCAGTGTAAGGATGCGATTGCCTGAGTAGAAATGTGATATATCACTGTATTTTCAACCACATTATAATTGATAGTTTATGTACCACTAACGCTCTTGCTTGGAGTCAAAGGTCCTCGGTGCCAGCTGGCACAGTAACACAAATATATGAGGAGCACACCATGCCTTGGCAGTGCTGGCTTGAGATCCCACACTGCATATGGGATGGTAAATGAGTTGGTGTCTACTTTCAGGGTTATGTTCCTCTAAAGCACTTACCATACATTGTTATCATCTTGCTGGTTTCTCTGAAAAGTAAGATTCCATTGGGGGACGAGACATCAAACTGAAGTCGTTGGGATCTGAGCAGAGAATAAAAGAAAAAAGTCAGAGGCATGTTGCTGGAAGATGAGGTTACTTCAGGGTCTCACTTGATTATCTTGGGTATGAAGGTATGCAGATTACCTATCCTAATGTGAAATAACTAGGCGAATCAAAGCTATTTAACCAGTGATGTAGCTTACATCTTGAAGACCATCATGCTAAATTCAAGTTCTGCTGCTCAAATTAAAAACATTTAAAACAATGAAACAAAATGATGTAGCAGGTGAAAGTATTCTCCCAAAATTCTCAACTTTATTTGACTAAAATTAGCTTCTTCCACAATTATCTCTTCGTGATATTGGCTCAGTCCTTCAACCACTATATATCATTCCCTTTGTATCTTCAGCGGTAACTAATGGAGGAGTGTAAGCAGTATTACCACTTTATAAGAAGACAACACACAAAGGGCCTTGGAGCACTACAACACGTCAGGCGGGGAAGGAAAAAGTGTTAAACCTGAGTTCTACATTCTGACTGTTCCCTAGACCAAAGCACATCTTCTTTGGTTTGTTCCATACCTTTAATGAGCTTTATTCACTCTAGTTGGTAAGGCCTCAAATCCAGGATTCTTCTTGAATCTTCTTTCCCTCCCTCCCCACATTGAATCCATCACGATGTAGCTCTACAATGTGCCACAAATCCATCCACATCCATATGGTCTATCTGCTTCAACTCTTGTTCCCTACAGTCCCATTCCTCATAGAAGCTGTTTGTTAGAATATTTCAACCTCTTGCTTCAAATAGCTGAGCAGCTTCCTATTGCAATGAGAACACGTTTGGTTCTTCACAAGCGCTGTACTAAGTTGCTACTCAACCCCTGGCCCTCCATGGCCCCTCCTTAGCCAGCCAGTGACATCTTTCTGTTTCAAGCCTCAGCAAGCTCACCTCATCTCAACAATCTTGCAGTTGTTTTCTCTAGTTAGGACTACCAGAGTCATTCATGTCATTCAGATCCCAGTATCACCTCTGAGAGGTGACTTCTGATCCTCCTTCCCCTTCATCCCCCTCTATTACCATGTTTCATTATTCTCATAGCACTTACCTCTGTCTGATTTATCATCCAAACTAGCTTTCCCCCCATAATGTAATAGCTAACAGGGCAGTGCTTTTGTCTGGCATAATTGCTGAGACAGTGCCTGGCAAGTTAAATTTTTACTGATCTAGCTGTAGTTGGCACAGTACCTTTCTTAAGACAGGGTGTTCCAGGGCCTCCCTGGTGGCGCAAGGGGTTAAGCACAGCACTATGAAGCTGTCTGCAGCCTCTGCAGCACGAGTTTGCTACCCCGGCTGGCCAGGGAGCTACCCACATGGCGCAGCAGACCTCTCCTGCCTCATCTGCTGCTCCCCTCAGCAGTGTATTTCAGTCTGCCTGTTTTGTTCCCCACTCTGCCTCTGATGAATCATCTTACCTCCCGCACCTCTGGCCTGTACCCCAGTTCTTGTATGCATAAATAAATCTTCAGGAAAAAAAAAGAAAGGGTGTTCCAGTGTACCCCCATCCCTCTCGATAGTATCTATGAAATGTGAGCTATGAGTAATGTGAACCTTTATGTATATGGGCAGTGAAATCAGAATCCTGATTGCCAAGTTCACGTCTCGTAGATATCTTGAGTCTATTTAAATTGACTTATTTCCTGCAAGCAACTGCATCTTTGCAGGGTTGGAAGCACTCTGCTTTCAAACAAACACACACACACACACACACACACACACACACACACACACACTCACACTCGCGCGTGCTCTCTCTCCCCCTTTCAGAGGCTTTCAAATTTTAATAGCAGCAAACCTTACTATGTTAGGCCCAAAATAATCCGCCCAAAACACTAGATTAAGCAAATTCTCTTAGGGCTTTCTTAGACGAAAGGACAGTTGTGCTTACTATTATGCTTACCTGTTATGAACCAACTCAGCCATCAGCTTGAGCACAGGTGTGGTACAGGCTGGATCATGGTACCACAGTTCAATTGCTCGCTGGAGAATTGGCATGTAGGATGGGTATCTGTACATGAAAAGCTAAGGAAGAATTTCTGAATCCAGAAAGGTACACGTTTAAGGTAATTTCCGAGTCAAGCAGAGTTACAGTTCTATTTCGTGTTTCCTGTTTGCTCATCTGAGTCTTTCTAACCAGAACATGGGAGCGATTATGTGTCCTGTAACTTGTAATAGACATCTAATAAAATACTGAATGTACATTATGCCTTTACCCTGAAGAGCACAATGCATTTCATATTATCTTTTTACCAATTCCATAATATAATAGGGAATCACATAACTATTAGAGAAACAGAAGCACTCAGATTTGAAATGGTTATGAAGTCAATATGGTTACATTTCCAGATTTCAAACAAAGCTGTCTTTTTTCTTATAGACTTTAATATCTTTTTTTGGTTAAGCATAATAAAATTCATCTGCAACAAGTTCACAAGCACAAATATACGGGACCCCAAAGAGGAACTGGGAAACTACCTCATTCATAGCGCAATCTCAGTGACCGTAACAGACAAGACGGTGTCTTTAGACTACGAAGGAATGACAGCTGACAGGTCATGACAGGTTTTATGGATACATCTTCACCTTCTCTTCCCACCACACCCTCCCACCTCCTTCCCTCCTCGTCCTCCTCCCGTGACCCCACCACCCACTTAGCTCTAGTTAAGGCTTGCCGTGTATGCTCCTAGTCTGTTAGGATACATCCATTCAAACAGCATCATGAAGCTGGTTTTGGCATTGAAGGCGAAAGCTATACCTCTCAGGTCTCTTACTAGGCCAACTAGAGTTCGCTATAGTAAAAAGCAAAAATACGTTAAAATAGATGAAAAGTCAAAGCTATAAATATCTGATGGGGATATCACATATCTGTAATCAAATTCTCCCTTCATTCATTCAAAATATACTCTCTCCCAAGTATTTGGATATCTTCCATACTAGAACAGAATCTTTTTATTTGGAAAATTAGTTTGGAGAGCTTGTTACACTAAGAAAAAAGAATGGTTCCTGACTCATCATAGAAAAAATATAGTTTGATACAGTTTTAAGACATTAATAGGCTAAATCACATGTAAAAAGTGGAAAAGCAAAAAAGCTTATTCAAAAAAGCAAAGAAAAAAGGAAAACTCACTACAACAGAGGTTAAGGAGCTATATATCCTGTCACAGAGCCTAATGCTCTGTCAGCCAGCACCACAGGAACTCCCAAGCAGACCCAGCCAGGAGGAAGGCAAGGGAGTCTCTATGGTTACCTGCCCCTTTAGTGTGGGTGTCTGGGAATAAGACATATGTTGTACCTTGGAGTGGCAAAGTATTTACTACACTTTTACAATAAGACAACCCTACTGAGGTGAAGTAACCTGCTCAAAAGCATGCTGCTAGGTGGCAGGAGCGAGGGGTAGGGCACACAGAACCAGCACCCCAAACCCCATGCTCTGTCTCAACAGAATTTTACCACAGGTTCTAAAGAGCAGTAAGACTGCTTTTGAAACCTGATATTCATCAGGCTCAAGGGGGCAGCACATCCCAGGTACCCTGACTATCAATCATGACTACACATCTGCCAAGGGTCAATTTAAAGCAAAGGGTTCTATTCCAAATCTGAAACCATAAGCTCAACTTTCAAGTCAAAAGCTTGGCAAATCTAAAAGACAAGTTATATGAGGCATGACAAAGATGTGGGTAAAGCTACAGTTTCTGGCCAAGGAAGCTCTGTTAATTTATTTGCTCTATATGGACTGTGATGAAGAAAAGGGCTGATATTCAATGATACTCCTTAAGTCCTTGATATGGCTGATACTCTAGCCTAAGTTGTGGGCATATTCCACAGTAGTCTTAGCATTGAATGCACCCATCTCAGACCCCAAAACACTGGTTTAGAGAACAGAGAGAGCTCTGGACAAAGTCATGTTGTCTTACAATGTCCCTGCTGATTTGGATATAGAAACCTAAGGGGCTTTCTAAAGATGAAAAAGGAGACTATTAAGTCATTTAAAACCTCACATTTTTTGTGAAGAAAAAAAAAATTCCACAAATATTAACAGCTTAGAATCTTCCGATTTTGGTACAGAGCTCTGGTACAGAGCTTTGGTACAGAGAGCAGGTGTGTGTGAAGTAGAAAAATGAGGAAAGCAGAACTCAGAAAGTGACAATTCTGAGAGTGAGAAATCAATAAAGGTGATTTTAAAATTCTACATATATATAAATTCACAAACCCTTCAAAATGATTCATGAGACAAAGAATAATTCTTAATGGAATAGACAAAGAAATGAATAATAAAAATGTTACACATTAAAACTTGTGGATTCTGGGGCCTCCCCGGTGGCGCAGCGGGTTGAGTGCCACCCTGTGAGGCTGTCTGCAGCCTCTGCAGAGCGGGTTCAGGAAGAAACCCATGTGGCGCGGCAGACCTCTCCTGCCTCACCTGCTGCTCCCCTCAGCAGTGTCTTCGGTTCGTCTGCCTGTTCTGCTCCCCACTCTGTCTTTGGTGAATCCTCTCACCCTCCCGCGCCTCTGACTGTTCCCCAGTTCTTGTATAAGTAAATAAATATTTAAAAAAACCCACAAAGCTTGTGGATTCTAGAGACCTGTTTCACAACAATGTCACTGTTCTCAACGCTACTGAATTATACCCCTAAAAATGGTTAAGATGGCAAATTTTATAAATGTGTTTTTACCAAACTAAAAAATCTTTTGTAATAGTATACCTAAAGGAATATTTATAGATATAGCTGATCAATCTGGTGGGTAAAGACTCACCTTTGCCTCTTGCTCGTTGAAACTATTAGTGCTAAACATCTGGGCCACAGCCTCAAATGCTGCTGTGAGTGGCAGCATGAATTGCTCATACTGATCTTCATCCTCTCCTGTAAGGCAAACAACCCAGAATGTGACCCTGATGTAAAAAATTCAAAGGTGTCTATGCATGGAAAACAAGACAAACAAGGAGTGACCCAAGGACAATCCAAGGGGCCCATTTATTATCCCAACAGATATTGTCAGTAACTTCAGAAATTGCATGTAGAGGAAAATTTTAAACTAGAAAATGACCCAAATTACCTAGTGCAGAGATTATGCAAAATTTTTTTGATACTGAGTCACAACATCTGAGATTCATGTGTCTACTGATTTGTTCTTCCTTAAGTGAGAACTATCGTTCGTTGATAAAGGACTGTCTGGTGCTGAGAACTAGAGGAGACTCAAACCTGAATCAGATGCTAGTGGAGTCTCTATTCACACCTTTCTTTCTTCAGTGATCTTTCATAAACCTCAATGGTTTTATAATGCCAGTTTAATAAAAAGCTCAAAATTATAATGGCATCAAGTTTCAATTATCAGTTGACTCAAAACTACTAAAACCACAATTAGAGCTAGAAAAGTACGAAAACCATCTAGCTCATGTGTGCCAGTGAGCTGGGCGACAAAATGTTTTACTCACCATCTCAGGCCTGTTCATCTTAGGATGTATGTGTGTGGGCATTATCTTGCTAACAAGATGCATTTAGGAAACTCAATTCCCTTATTTTAAAGGTGAGAAGTATGAATAGAAACTTAAAACCACGATGTAGCAGAGGGCAACGTTAGGTGTACACTGTTACTCTCCTCCAGTCACAGGGGCCATGGAAGCATGCTCTGTTCTTGGTGAAATCAGACTGCTATTTCAGATAGTTTTGTTACTGTTGAAATAACAGGAAAGACTTCCCCCACATGTAGTTTCTATCAAATGAAAATTTAGAATAGTGCCAGATTACTTCATGAGCCCCTAGCATTTATTGCAGTACCTAAATCCACCATGAGGAGACGCCCAAGTGCTGTGTAGAAGGTAGTCCGACAACGCATGTCTGTCAGGTTGGACTGATTGTTAATACCCAAAAATGAAAAGTGCTCGCTCTATTGAAAAAAAGAAAACAAGTTAAAAAGATAAAAGCATGGGTTAGAGGCAGAATGCAAGCCAGTAATTTTAGGATTACTAAGCCTTTCAAGCTAATGGCTACATAGTCATTCCTTAAGGGTATGAGGGGTCTAAAAAAAAATTTTTTTTTTGATTACTATTGTTTCTACCTACAACTAAATTCTCTTAGTTTGAAAAGTAGTAGGTGATTTCACCAGAACTCAGATATCTGGCTCTAAAGAGTAGCTCTGATGACAGTATGTATAATCGGGTGGCCAGATGGAACCGGGGCAGTGTTTGGCTATGTAGCACTGTGGACCTCAATTTACGTATCATCGCCCTTATGAGTTGAGAAAGTATGTGTGTGGGTGGCTAGAGAGCAGAATCAGGATGAGGGGCTGGAATCACTTACCGTGTGATTGTTCAGCATGAACTGTACTGCACTCAGCTTTACTAGTTTCCTCACACTACTGTATGTAAAGACAAAGGAGGAAGGTCAAGGAAAGCGTGACACAAAATTAAGAATCTTCAGTGCAGAATGAACCTTCTAGGGTAACGTATAGTTCCTTTCTTTACTATGAGTTCCATACCAATTATATTATTTTCCTTAACTACTTGAGTACAGTATTGCCAAATGGGAAAAAAATGAGTCTATTCTAAGTAGTAAGTAGTTAAATACCTAAGTAGTTAAATACCAATGAAGAGAATGCCCACACCAAACTCCTATCTGTAAGAAAAGAGACAAACCCCAGGAGTTTTCTCCAAAACCTATGGCTTTTCTCAGGGGGAGTCAGGAAACTTTAGGCTCTAAAGTCCTGCTTGAGGCATCCGCTGTATATAGCGCATTCTCCACTGTGTATTTAGAATGGTACTAGCTATGTACCATCTTTGGGAGAACTGAGAAAAAAATACCTCAAATAAGTTTTACAGGGTCAACACTTCTTTTGCAGAACCCTGGCTGTGAAAGGCTTACAGCAATTCCAATTTCAAGCAGGCCTAGTCCAATTCAAGGGGAGCCACTGCTTTTATTGCAAAGTTTGTAGTCAGGATGTTTCTACCGATTAGCTGATGGACTATCCTGATGGATATGGACTATGCTGCCACTGAGGATGCATAAACCCTGGCCACAAAGAGAATGTACCCAAGACATTCATCTGCTGGGTATTTCTGGATCTTAGGAATAAATCTGTAGTAAACTATTAGCTTATGTACTGGCTCATTTTGGGGGTCTGGAGTTACTCCTGGATTCTGTGAGGGTATTGCCTTTAGTTACTCCTGGATTCTGTGAGGGTATTCCCAGGAAAACAGAAGATGAATATTCAGGAAGCTAAATTAAATAGCAGGGGGTCATGATGCCTAAGATCGGCATGCCACCTTTCCCATGGTGCAGAGAAGGTGGTTTAGAAAAGGATATCCAATAGAGAGGTCATTTAGAAGCTGTAGTGTCTTAGAGGTGATTGGTTCACAACGGCCCCAGTACTTCAGGTTGGTGATGCTGGAGGACAAAAAGAAAAAAAAAGCAGGAGATGCTTTTGATTTGGCTGGCTTTCATGAGAGTTGGGAGAAGAAGAAAATCATTCATCAAGAGTCACCACACATCTGCATCACCAATTCACAGACATCACAACCACAAAAAATGGGTATAAAATCTCCGTACTTACATTTGGTTGACTAGAAAAATTATCCTTCAGATAATCTTCACTACTTGGTTCCAAAGCTACACTGGCCCATACCCAGGCCCTTGGAATTCTGGGGCACTCCAGGGCTGATTTCTGCAGCAAGGGTAAGAGATTTCTGCGGCAGTGATAACATGCAGACGTATGCAATTCTGCACCTGCACCATCCACTGTCAGCTGCAGAATTCTAGTAGCCCTTGCTTCTGGGTTCTTGGCTGGCAGAGTCCTTTAGACCCCCTTTGCTTTTTCATCTTAAATTATTAACCAGCTCATGGATATGAATGCATAAGATTGGGAGTGTTGGAAGGAGGCAAAATGTCACTTTGCACACAGCCCTGGGTAATATTTGGCTCCTATTGTGTGCTTTGGTAAATTGACTCCTAAAAAAGGGGAAAATGTAACCAACAGGGTATAAAAAAAACAGAAAAACAAAAAAACAAAAAAGGGCCAATTAGAAGCTCTAACTTTGAGGACAGTTGAAACAATAGCACTAGATTTTGAAGATTCAAGACTCTTAAAAGGTATGGTGTTTCTTCAGAGGAACAAGCCCATTTTAGAGTGGGGCTCTCCTCCTGGAGGGGGGGGCATACCTAATGGAAATTGGCACCAGCAAGTGAATGTCCACTCTTGGCATCCCTGACAGCAGAGTGATTGGGTTGGAGGCTGAGCACCAATCTCTGGGAAGGGAGGGCCATTTTGCTAAAGCCAAAATAGGGTTTCACCCATGATTCCAGAGACATGAACAAAATTAAATCCTTTCCTATACGAGCCTGGAATGCTCTGGGGCCGGGCCATATCTCTAAGCACAGCTTGTCACACACTCAAATGCACAATTTTCTGACGCAAACGATCAATGCTGGAATACCAAGGCACTGGCAACACAATGCCAAGATCACATTTTACAGTTGCAAGAGGATTGCAAGGGACTCTTGCTGATGGCAGGCCAAAACACTTACATTTTTCCTATGAAGACACTTAGGACCATGGTCTCATCATTTAAGCCTAGAACTTCTGAGAGTCGACGGTACAGCTGGTGTCATGATAACGGAAAAGAAAGTAACCAGAAAATATGGATTAGAAAAATCACATCCCAATACTGTTTTTGTTCTTAGTAAGATGAAATGAGTTAGTTTCTAAGTTTTATTTAACATTGTACAGAAACTAAGCTACCTTTCTGGTCCCCGTTAGTCCTAATAACATAAAGACTGTCAAAACTTTCTGCTATTATGGACATTAATTTAGGTATGGTGACTGAGAATTGGGGGAGACCAACAGCTGTTTTGGGGAGACCAAGAAATGCTTTGACTGGCCATCTGTTAAGCATATGGAGCACAAGGTAAGTGGACCCAATTCCTTGATGAGTGTCTTAAAATCTGGAGACTCTAGCTGAAGACCCCCACCCCCCCAATCAGAAAGTGAACTAAATGGAGCAAAATGAGAGTCTGTTACCTTAGAGGATTTTTGCACCTGGTCCCCAATGTAGATCTTACGAAACTGTTCAAAAAAGCTCAGCATGGCTAATTCTAGCTTCTCATTACCCGCCTGAGCCAGGCGAGAATCTGTTAGGTTCATCAGCTGGAGCACCCTAGAGAAAGAAAAGTAATGATTCTCTCAACAGCAGGATATCCTGGTCACTCTAGAAAATCCAACCTACCCTCATAATTGTGTCTCTCCTCTCCTTAACCATCCTATTTGAAAGGCACTTTCTATAGGCTCTACACTGTTGAGGAAATAAAATTCTCCACTTCTGCCCTAAAGAAACCACACTGGAGGAATACATATGAATGACCAATTAGATATTTAACACTTCCAATCCACTGAGAGTATGGTTGAAGCTTCAAAACTGTGGGACAAATATTGGTATGAAGGGTAACTGAGCTTCATAAGACCTTGGGAAAAACTATTTTCAGTGTCCCACTTCTTCCATCTACAAAGTGAGGGAGTACTGGACTGACCAGTGGTTTGTGATTGTTTTTGTCACAGCCTTGAAAGGAATGGAGACACAGGAAAGATGAATGTTCGAGAGCATGTGACACCTCCAAGGACAGAGATCAGATACGCTTCCTGAGATTTCCTCCTTTTTCCTGCACACAGCCCCAACAAAGCACACTTGAATGCAAGTGAGTGGTGAATAAAAATGATGTTATAAGCATGCCATCTGAAATTCTGATAGTGTGAGAACAGATGACAAACTATTTGTGACTTATCATGGATGAATTATATTTGGTCACTGTGCTGCAAGCTCAGGTCGAGAACCAGTCTACAAGACACTGTCTAAACTCAATTTATATTATCACACACACACAGTTATCACACCTGACTGCAGAATCAAAAAGATATTAGATTTTATCTTTATTAAATCTTTGCTCAACTCTTCAAAAAATGCCAGTGGGAGATGAAAGGGGGAGTTATCAGGATTAAGGCACCTAAGGGCGGATAGCAATCTGATAAGCAAAATGGTGGTGGAAAGAGACAAATGGGGATTCTCAGATGAGTATGAATTATAGATTGAAATATTGGGGACCAAAAAATTCTAAGGCATCATGTTAAAAAGTTTATCTCCCAAGAGAGCAGTTTAGAACCCTTCAGACTAGGGACCCTGCAAGGTCACAAAACCATTTTCATAAAAACATGAAAATACTATTATGTACACATTTCACATGATGGTACAGTTGGGGGGGGGGTCTTCCAGAAGATATAAGACTGGTGAGGTCATGATGACTGAATGCAGAAGCAGTTATGAGAATCCAGCTGACTTCTGTGCCAGAGAGTAAAACAAAGCCACTCTCACCTTTTAGTGGGGAAAAGTCATTTCTTAAAAAAACATTTGTTTATGTTAATATTTGTACTGGGTTCACTATGATCTTTAAATGAATAAATATTAAAACATTCTAAGTATTACCTTTTAATATGGTAAATCTTGATAAAAATGTCTCACATAAACAAAAGTTCTTTGAGGTCCTTAATACTTTGATTCAGGTATTCAAAACTCCTGATTTAAATTTTATTTCTGCTAGGTAAATTTTTAGAAATTACTAAATCACTTACAGGTTTTCAGGAAGGTAAGAATTACATAAATATAAAATAACCTGAAATCCTGATGGTAAAAAAGTATACGGTCAAGGTCTGAAAGGCAGCCTCTTCAGGAGTATCTAGAGAGCCCAGTGTCCTATCAGACTTACTCTGGCAAAAAGCTGTCTACATCTCACTAAGATTTGGCCCTAAACAGAACAACTTCCACTCTGGTTTTCCTAATTCTGGATCCAGAATTTCCTTGCTGAATTACTGCAAATGTGTTTCAGTAAGAGCACAGGCAGAGCTCTCACTGCACTTATAAAAGGTTGGGCATTGGTCCTAGAACAGTCCTTCATTTTAATGTGCAATCAGTTTCATGAGACTATATTCTATCAATGGAGAGGAAATCATTAACAGAAGCATGTCAAGTTCCTGTGGTCTTAGGACCTAAAGTGGGTGGGGCATACCAGCAAAATGGAAAGCCTTTGTGGGAGCACTTACCGACAGACAAGCTCGCCATCCATAGCATCTTGTTCATCTGTGCTGGCAAAAGAGACCCGGCCACCAATCACTGCACCAATGATGTAAACTAGCCACGTCAGCCTTCCTACAAGAGGAAGAAGACCTATTAGTGTCACCTTCAGTGACAATTTCATAAAGGAGTTCTTCACTGCTGTGAAGTTCATGTCTTGCTATGTGCTTCCTTAATCTTAGAATACTAGTAGAGCCATAAAACCTTACTTTTTTATGCAGAGTATATAACAGTTACTCTCTGCTCTGGTAAGGATATGCCAAGTGAGAAATTCATTGGACAACTGGTGCTTTCCTATCAGATAAGCTCATTATTTTTGGAGTCAGGTAGGTTCCTGCTGCAGATTATGATTTCAATTACTCTTCCTTGGTTCCCTGTGGCATTTATTTACAAATATTCTTTTATGTATATGGAAATAACTGATGATGGAAGAATGTTTTTTAGGGAGTAAGTAAGAGAAATGGCAATGAATGAAGGTACTGAGAGTACTTTCCAGGCCCAGTCCACTGCCCACTTACCCTCTTGCACAGCAATATCCATTGGGCTAGCGCTGGCGCTCTGCAGCAGCTCCTGATAGGACTGCGCCGACTGGTCAAATAACTGCACGAGGAGTGCACACGTCTTCTCGTACTCACAGCGCCCTATTGTAGACAGCTGGTCCAACTGCTGCTGTACCAGACCTGTATCCTCCAGGGGATCTTCCAGCCCATCTCTATTCCCAAGGAAGAAGGAAGGTAGTGCTCTTAAAATATGTCCACTGATTTCCTCATGGTAGCAGCTCTCTTAATTTACTCACCATTTCCAATCTTAGAGGCCCATGCCTTTTTTGCCAAGGAAGGAATATATATGTATGTATGTCTGTATGTATATAAAGTTGGAAGACACATATCTTTTTTTTTTTTTTGGGTGGTTAGGCAGTAACATACAGCCAAAAATAGTTTTATTTTGTGCAAACACATCCTAATCTCCAATAGGATTACAATTTTTTTTCCTATGTATATATCCTTTACATTTCCTTTCAAATGTCTTTCCAAATGTTTTTTTTTTAATAATAAATTTTATTGTTATATTTCCCATACAATTGCAGCCCCCCCATTCTGACACCAATCCCTCCCCTCCCGCCCCCGCCCCCCTAAAAGTGTCTCTGGTTCATAGTTTTTTGTTGATTTTGATTTTTACTTTCTTATAGTTATTCATTTTCCTGGTCCCTTATTTAAGTTTTCTAGATTCCTGCTATGAGTGAGACCATCCGGTATTTTTCTTTTTCTTTTTGGCTTATTTCGCTGAGCATGATCCCTTCCAGCGCCATCCATGTTGCTGCAAATTGCATGAAGACACATATCTTTACCTTAGGCATTAGTCTCCCTTAAATATATTCTGTTTGTTGGTATCCAGTTGTTTAATCTGAATTGCCCTGACATATATCTGTTCTGGTCTTTTCAGTCCTATTGCTTCTCACCCTAGGAGCTCTTGGTTTTGAACTACAGTAAACTTTGGGAATATAAGTATCTTACTCCTTGTATGAGGACACTGTGGTTGGTGTGTTTTGGAATTAGAAAATTTCATATTTTAGGGAGGCAATATGATGCCTCTACCAGGTAATATAAACCCTCAATAGGTTCTCTGGGATGCCAAATAAAATATTCCTGTAGCAAAATGTATACATATTATAAATAGCCATATGGAGATGATTTTTAAAAATTTTATTTTATTTATTTATTTTAAAAGATTTATTTATTTATACAAGCACTGGGTACAGTCAGAAGCGCGGGAGGGTGAGAGAATTCACCAGAGCCAGAGCAGGGAGCAGAGCAGGCAGAAGGACCCAAGTACACTGCTGAGGGGAGCAGCGGGTGGCAGGAGAGGTCTGGGTGCCATGTGGGACCCTCCTCCGGTGGCCGGGGAGCAGCCGGGGATCGAACCGAGGCTGCAGAGGCTGTGGGCAGCTTTGCAACCCAGCGCTCAACCGCTGCGCCACAGAGGAGGCCCATAGGGAAGATTTTTTAAAAAAGATTATAAAAGGTCTTACTCAAGTCAGAAGCAAGTCAAGTTTTGCCCTCAAACTGTTTTTGGTGCCAAACTTATGAGAAAATTGTTTTCTCATTTTGGATTTCAGAACTGGAGATGAGCCATTGGTCTTGTATTGTCTACTGGTTCTTAGATTTAAAAATTTTGTAATATCACAAGCTCTCTATTGTTACATCACAGTATGACAATCCAGAAACAGCACCAACACTATAGTGATCAGTTCTCAGTTCTCAGACCATACAACAGGCCAGGACACAGTAATTTAATCCTCATAGTAACTTTAAGAGGTAGGCCTATTATTTGTATTTTACAAATAAGGAAACTCAGAAACTCACACTCCTATTCACTGGGCCCAGATCTCATACATGTAACCACTCTCCAAAACTGCCTCACTGAAACCAGATGAAGCCCCCCAGAAGAGAAACTATGCATCTAACACAACAATGCTTTCCAATGGGCTTCATAAATATTACATTTTGAAATGACTGACCATAAAATATTTGGAATAATAACTCCTATAGCAATTAAATGCACTTGACTTGAACAAATTAAGAATCCAACTTAGGGGCCTTTCTGGTGGTGCAAGGGTTAAGACGTAACCCACGAAGCTGTCTGCAGCCTCTGCAGCACAAGTTCAATCCCCGGCCAGTCAAGGAGCAACCCACATGGTGCAGCAGACCTCTCCTGACTCGCCCGTTGCTCCCCTCAGCAGTGTACTTCGGTCAATCTGCCTGTTCTGCTCCCCACTCTATCTCTGGTGAGTCCTCTCACCCTCCACACCTCTGCCCTGTACCCCAGGTCTTTCATGCATAAATAAATCTTAAAAAAAAAAAAAAGAACCCAACTTAAAAAAAACAAAACACCAGAAACCCAGACTTTGAAAATCTAAGTAAATTCTCCTCAGAAATAATGAAACATTTAAGAGAGGTCCTAAACAAAGAATAACTATATCATTTTTTAAAAGGCCCAATATTTCTTTAACTATAAATTTCTGGTCTAGTTAATACTCAAAGCAGACAAGAAACATGTAATGCAATCCGTGATCACTGTCTAGATTTTTTGTATCATAAGTTCTAGTTTGTGTAATCTTATTATCTACTTGTTTCTTCAGAAGATCACATTAAGTTCCTATAACTTACACTTTAAATTTTTATCTATGGCTTATGTTTCTCTCATGTTTAAAGAAAATCAGCGGTAAGGACACATATACCAGTATACTTTGTATTCGACGATACTGCCACAGCTGGTGAAAGAGGGGGATGTGAGGAAGATGCTGAAGAAAAACACTATTCCTTCAGACTTTATGCTCTCATATGCTATTCCACTCACATGAAAAAACACACATTAGCGGTATAAGCTCCAATAAGACTAGGTCTATCAAGGACATTTTTGCCAACTGGGTGCCTGATCTGGCGGGGGAATGAGGGAGACAGTTCAAATTTCCTTACCTTAGTATGATGTGTACAGATTCCAAACGAGATGTGATGTAGGCTTTGGTGACCTCAGGTGTGTAAGTTTCCAGCATGTGGGGCTCTGTGGCTTTCACATATGGCACAGAGGCTGCCAGCCGCTGCCACAGGCTCAGGAGATAGTGCACACTATTTGGGGCAAATTCCCAGTGCTAAGGAAAACGAAAAGAGCAGAAGGCACATTTCTCATTTTTCAGTGCACAATACATTAGTCCCATGTTGCTTGAAACAAAAGACTTTGAAAACAAACAAAAAAAAGGGGGGTAAACTTTTATGGCGTGTTTCTCAGATAATTTTGATGCAAGCCCGAACATGACAGTGCTACTACCCTAAATCGCATGACTTAGAAAGAGAGGACACTCAATTTTCTCCTCCCTCTTCTATTCCCCTATTCCAGTATTGCCTTTTTTTGGGGATGGTTATGAGGGGATTCTTTCTGCCTTGAATTGCAAGCCCCATGGTAGCTCTAACTGTACTCCTTATACTTCTGTAATGCAAATGAATAGGCTACAACAGCGATAACTTCTCTGCAGGTTACCCTATGCTTTTAATTACCTTTGCCAAGAAAACAATAGAAACATTCTTGTAAGGTGAGCAAGAGAAGAGGTCCCAATGTCTACAAAGAGAGAGACAAGCAATCAAAGACAAACCTGAAGGCTGGTGACTGTGAAGTTAGCTATCAATCGAATGACTTCAGGGTAGTTTTCCACTTTTACTAATTCTCCCAGCTGATAGTTACTCTTCAGTCGGGCCAGTAGTCTGCAGAACTCGTGATAATTGTTTGGGTCTGATAAACTCTGGTGACAGGACAGGAGGAAAATAAGTATAAAATGTAAGTCACGATACTTCCAGAATGACATTTTGGATGGCATGAGAGGAGGAGGGAATCTAATTTCTGAGCTCAGGTTATCCTGTGTATAATGTTTAAAAACAATTTTCCAAAAGTCACTTTTAAAAAGGGATAATCGTATTTATCATCTCATATGTTCACAACAATCATCTTGTGAGAGGGGATTATCCTCAATTGAATGTCTAAAATGGAAGCCCAGAAGGATCACACTACTTGCTTAAGATTAAAAAGTTGATTGCCATAAAAGAGGCATGATCTAAGCTATCTGTTTACTTCCCACTAAAATCAAAGAAAGATAATGACATTTTCATAACTGCTGGATTTACTATTAAGCACAACTAAACTATGGTGGCAAAGTTATACAAATGTTTTATATGTTTATATCATCATTACTGTAATAAATATATTCCTATATTAATGTTTGTTTTATTATCTCTCTATATCAAATGTTACTGGTTTGTAAGCAGTTGATTGACAAATATCTTCCTTTTCACTTAAAAGCAGCCTAATCACATAGGTTAATAATGTATATAAAAAAAATGGCAACCGTACAAACTTTAGAATCTTAATTTCTAGGGGAAAAATGACTAGATTTATCTTTACTTTCCTCTATCAAAGTGATTCCTTCTCATGACTGTATTCCTGAAGCTAGAGAACAGAAACTACTCTTTTGGGTGAATACTCTCAAGAATTTGCCTACAAATACAGATTCACCTAAATCTTCTGAAGATCAATAGTCTGAACTGTTTGCAGCAAAAACTGGAATTTTTGCTAAATTCATCAAGCAATGAATTTTTGCTTGATGGATTTCTACTTCATAACAGATAGGCATATACTATATAAGCATATAGTGCTGTTGATGTCTCGCGCGCTCTCTCTCTCTCACCCCTAAACCCTCCCCCGCTCCTTCTCTCTCTGTCTCTCCCCACTCCTCTCTCCAAGAAGAAGAAACTGTCCAAAATCCTACCTGTGGATTTTCCAGTATTCGCTTAACACCATCGACCAGATGAGAGAGAAACTTGGCTCTCTCTGCATTGTTAAACAGGGATCTTCTGACCGAGGCAATCTGTACTAAGCAGGATAATACCTATAAGCAGGCACAACCCAAAACAACTAATTAAAAAGATGGTACAGCTGCCACCAATTCCATCCTTCCAACTTCTGCTACCAGTATAATGATGTAGAAAGATCAAGGAGGGTATAGCTTAGAATATCTGAAACAGCTTAACTAATTGGAAAAAATACAAAGCATTAGATTCAAAGTAATCATAACTAGTTAAATTCAGTTTGGAAATTTACTTGTATTCTTTAACCAGTCCAATGGCTTCTTTGACTTTGTTAAGACTTTTATTTAAGGCTTGAAAATACCATGTGATTCACAGTTTAAAGAAAGCCTAGATTTAATTTTTCCTGCTCCAGCAGGCTTTGCCATGTCCCACTATAATGAAATAACCAGGTCAGGTGTGTGTCCTGAACAAAATAACTTTTATACCAAAAACATTTTACCCTTTCCTCACTGTGCTAGATAGTTATAGCCTCTGTTTGTCCTTCCAGATGTTTTCTGCCCTTCTCCATCCCATCTTATGTTCCCTGGGAAGCTAACCTCTGTCGACTAACTATAGCCAAACTCCCCTGCCTTGTTGCTTGTAATTGTCCTCAATCAATGGAAATTACCAGAGGGAGGCCAAGGATGGGAAAAAAGAGGCCATGGAGCGAGGTTTCTCTACCTCTTGCAAAGATTTCCCCTATGCCACAATCCAGTACTCTCCAGTACTTCCTTTCCTGGCCGTTTGAGGGACCCCACTTTGGCAAGTCCCAGGGGAGTAGATGATCCGACCCCATTGGATTCCCTTAATTTACTGCCTACACCTTTACAAATCATGCTTTTATTAATAACCCCTCTTGAATGAGCTACCTTTTCATGCAGTAAAAACGCAGTGACACAAACAACACCAAATTCATGTTTCTGCTAAAGCAAAGCCCTACATTAATTTGGAAAAACACTACAGAGAGAAAGTAGTTTACAGAAATATTATGTAAAACACCCACTACTTTACTGTTTTCTTTTTATACAACTATACTTTATACCAATAACCTGAAATAACCGGTGAAAGTCTTAAAAGACCTGAATGACTTTTGTGATTTAAAGAGGTTAATTATTGTTATAAAGGTGAAATATGCCATTCCCCAGAGCTTTCAAGTGTTATTCAAGACAAGTATGCAAATATGCTTCCCCATCATAACTTCCATTTATCACTTATGCAACATATATGTGGGGGATCTGCAAGTTTCTCTATCAGGACAATCTTCAACTAGGCAATGTTAAGTTGAATGCCCGTACTCTAACCTGTGGCAGAGATATGGTATGAAGTCAGATACAAGATGAAACCAAAAGAGCTTGTGATCTGTACCAATCTGTCATCAAAAAGGAATAATTTTAAAAGAATTAAGACTTTATTATGAGAACCTTTAGCCTATAAACTGATCTCAACAGATGGGATAACTAATCTTAGCATTTCTCAGATTTACCGCTGAGATTTTTGTAAAACGAAATAACAATGAATTCATCAACATTTCTACTTTCTAGAAATAGGTGTGCTTTAGGAAACTGGTCCTGACTCACCAGAGGTGAAAATGAAGGAGGGATGGAATGATACAGGTCAAAAAACAGCTGCAGTGTTGAAGAATCTAAGAACGCTGAAAGACAGACAATAGAACACGTTGAGCAGGCCTGAACCTGTACTGGCATGCTTCTAGCACCATTTATCAGGGAGCCTGTCTGCTTCCTTATCTTACAGAATCTTTATTTTCTTTGACAGTGATAAACTGATAGGGCTATTTTTGGGTTTGGTTATCTTTTCCCCTTTTAAAATATGAGTTTTTAGCTCCTCTATGAAATAGCTTTCATTCTTTTGATAGTCAGAGAACATAAGACAATCAGAACTTTGTTCACAGCACAAATTTTTATTCACACCAACACAAAAATAATCGTTAAGCATACGTTCTTTTGTTTGATCTTGTTTTTAAAACTAGGCATTACTCAAATGAGTATGATAACAGAAGTCTCTATAAGTGATGTATGCCAGAAGGTCAAACTCATATCTACTAGTAAGTCAGTGAGTTTTCCCATGCTGGGGAATCTCCAAGATTCCTTTAGCAATGTCTCTCTTACTTTATTAAGATAGATGCTGAAATTCTAAATGTTCTCTTAAAGTAAGCCAGGGGTGAGAAGCAGTCTGTTTCAGGTGGTACAAACCCTGTTACCTGATCTCCAGCTGGTGGGAATCTGTACTGTGCACAGGTCATCTGAGGATTCATCAGTAGACGTGCCGATGAAATCAAAGTTTAGGCAGTTATGAGTGAGTTTGAGCAGTTGCATGAGCAAGCCATGCTGACTTTCATCATTCAAGTTTAGATTCTTTCCTGAAGCCTGTAAAAATGACCACATGATGAGGCCCAAACAATCACTCCTCTCTTCCAAGCTTGCCACCAGACTTATGAAAAGGCTGAAGTCAGAAAAGGAGGGTCATATTCACACAGTAAAGTGATGTCCCCCTCTAAGAGGCTACACTATCACCTCAGTGTCACTTTAAAAATCCGAGCTTCTTGTTTACTATTAAAACATTTACTATTACAAAAAACAAGCAACTGGTGTTTAAAGAAATCCCCCTTTAACACTTATTCTTTACATGTTGTAGATATAGTGTCCAAGGGATTTTGGAAGCAGTATGAGAGGTGTGGTTACTTCAATTGCATGTGAGATCCAACTTATTTCTACACAGGCTAGGATCAAGGTCAAGGAAGTTCTAGTAAGTTTTATATTCCTCCCGCCCTCCCTTTCTGTTTTTAATATTATCATCACCAAAATGTATCAATCCAAAATTAAAACAAAATCACCAATGAATGTTATTTATTCACCAGGGAGAGCTGAATACTGGCTGATTGTTACTAAGTTTCAGATTCCTAGCTTATACCAGCAATGGCCTCAAGTGTCTGGCTGGCTAGTGGTTTTCAATAGTATCAGAGGAGGATACAATCCTCTCAGTTTTCTCAAAAGCTTTTCCTTTAGGTGGGAGTGGGTAGAACAGTTTTTGCTAAACAGCTTGCTTAACTTAAGGAATGTTTGAGAATTCTGAAGTAAAACTACGGAACTGAGGAAAAATTTGGACATCATTAACTGTGACAGAAGAAAGAATCCAAACTTGTTTTCTAAAACTAAAATTGGGACAAGCTAGAAAATTGAGGACAAGAACAAAAAAATCCCATCCCCCAAAATGAAGATTCAGGGGCTAATCCCAGAGCTTTCTGGAGGGACAAAGTAGCCAAATATTGTGATAAATTTATAGAGCTCAAAGGTTAACATTTCCTTCTTAGTTCAACTGTATCCATAAATGAATCAAAACACCAACTTTCTATTTTGAAATAGGTAATTTCCTTATGTGATACTGACTACCTCCTTCAGGTTATGAAAATCTAAATGGATGTTAAAAATTCAAAATCTACTTTTCCTTACAGATGTTGCTGGTTTATTTGCTGCTTTTAACTCAGCAGGGGATAGAGGAGTGAGCCTAGTTTTAGTATGCTAACAAAGTAGTCTGAACTTGCCTTTAGAGCTCAAAGAATCCAAACACAATAAAGTTAACACACTTTTACTGTGCATAAGGTAGATTTTATGTGGGTATAAAAAAAGCACACAACAAAACCTCAAACTTTGTAGTAAGCTAGATTCCCTTAAGGGCCGAGCATGGATAAGTACTCACTCAATGCTCTTACCTAGGGAAATAAGTCTCTGATGCCAGTGGTCAATCTGGCAAGCCTTGCCAATGTCTCAGAGATGGCTTTTGTGTAAGAGATGATGATTATGAAAGAGATGCATCAGCTCTCATGAAGTCAATTAAGAGCTGATACCTAACAAGTACCTACTCATTCTCATCTTTCAAAGGGAACTGAGAATCAGGAACCAACCTACAATCTCACCTGTTTTAGTAAATTACAGGAAAGTGTGAAGATATCAAATAACGATGAGTCTCGGAAAGAAGAGGCAATTTTTCTGTGCTTGGTTAAAGGATGGGTGGTGTCTGCCTGTTCAGGAAAATAAATTGCAAAGAAAAAAATTAATGTAGATTTCAAATAAACTAGAAGAATTTCCAATAAAAACAACATTATTTTTCATGTCTAATTACTGTTAAATCAAATATAGAAAGTTAATGCAGAGGACAATAAGCTGCTAAAAGCCTGCATAACTTATGCTGCTAAAAGCCAGCATTTCTATAACTTAGAGAGGGAAGAGAGAGGGAGAGATGAGTAACTCCACTGTAAAGTTGCAATTTCTTCTTTACAGTTGGGGAGATAAAATTTAACAAATTATTGACAGATATTGCTAATAATTATTATGTTATATTGTAAACTTAGTCTCAAAGACAGACAATAGCAAGGCTTGCGTTTTGGTAAATAATCTGCTCAGGGTTGAAGTTACTGAAGGATTTCCAAAACAATTACTGACTAATAGCCATGAACTGAAGATAAATGAGAACACGTTTAAAATTTGTTTAGTTTTCTAACCTACTGCAACATGTAGTCTCTATGACAGAAGTGAGTACTTAAACAGCAGTTCGCTCTCTCACATATTCCCCTGTTGTTAACTCTTCAGCCAAATACAAAAACTTTTTGTGGTCGAGAGCCAAATCTTTTAATTCTTTAGCATGTCCTCTATTCTTGACACATAGTAGGAACTCAGTAAGCGGAAGACAGGACTTTCAAGGTTGCCAAGAGTACTCTTGGCACCTATTAGTTGTACTATTAGTTGTACAGACAACTAAGTTAGGAGCCTTCCTTGATTTTTTCTAAGTTCAAATTAGGAATAGTAACAGAAATAAACTTTCAGATTTAAACCTGACAACAACAAATAACAACAGAAAATTAAGTCACAAAGAAGTTCAAAATATTCTCCAATTCTAACTTTATTATTATTATTTTTTAAAGATTTACTTATTTATTTATATAAGCACTGGGTACAGTCAGAAGCATGGGAGGGTGAGAGAATCCACCAGAGCCAGAGGGGAGAGCAGAGCAGGCCGACTGACGAAGTACACTGCTGAGGGGAGCAGCAGGCAACAGGAGAGGTCTGTGCACCATGTGGGACCCTCACCAGGTGGCCGGGGATCGAACCGGCACTGCAGAGGCTGTGGGCAGCTTCGCAACCCAGCGCTCAACCGCTGTGCCACCGGGGAGGCCCCAATTCTATCTTTAGTGTCACTGTGTTATCTTGCATGCCTTAGGTAGTAAGATATTACTGGATTATATATATTTATCATATACCATATATAATCTGTTATGCTGATTATAATAGAGAATAATTACACATTAAGTTGCTAAGTTACAAGTATGTTAAATATATCACACACATTTCTATTATTTTCTTAAGTAAAATTTCGATTTTTTTTTTCAGACCAACATTGACATATTTTGTCAGGCCAAGCTTAAAGAGAGAGCATTAAACCCCAATTCTGTACTTGACTAATGCATGCTCTCCGATTACAAAAGTAATAGTGGCTAAATGATAAGTTAGTTGTTAAGAACACAGGCTCTGGAATGAGACTATGTGGGTTTGAATTCAGATATTGTTGCTTGCTAACTGTGTTATGTTAGGTAAATTCTTGATGGACCTTAGCTTCCATATCTAGAAAATGGGGTAACCAGAGTACCTATCTATCTCATAGGATTTTGTGATTAAAAATTAGTTACTATAAAGTGCTTAACGGTGTGCATCATATAGTAATGTAAAAGTATAAGCTATTATTATTTTGAAAATTACTGAGCATAACAGGACCACAATCACAGAAAACACATTATAGACTCCAGATTTTAGTAAGATATAAGCAAGAGCAGTAAAAAAAGCACCAACTCAAAGAATTCATAGGACTCAAAAAAAAAAAAAACCAAAAAACAAAAAACAAACCAACAACCCACAAGCAACCCAATTAAAAAATAGGCAGGGGGTGGGGAGAGGGGCACCTCCCAGGTGGCACAAGGGGTTAAGTCTCAACACTATGAAATTACAGGCAGCCACTGCAGCACTTTGATGCCCAGCCAGGGAGCTGATCCACATGGTGCAGCATACCTCTCCTGTCTCACCCACTGCTCCCCTCAGTAGTGTATTTCAGTCAATCCACCTGTTTTGCTCCCCACTCTGTTTCTGGTGAATCCTCTCACATCCCCCACCCTGCACCTCTGGCCTATACCCTGGTCTTGTATGCACAAATATATCTTTTAAAAAAGAAACAGGCAAGTGAACTGAATAAACATTTCTCTAAGGACACACAGGTGATGAACAGATATATGAAAAAAAGTTCATTGTCATTCATTAGAGAAATGCAAATAAAAACCACAATAAGGTATCACCTCACATCTGTCAGAACAGCCATTAACAAAAGGAGAAGAAATATGGGCCTCCCTGGTGGTGTAGGGGTTAAGATTTTGTGCTATCAAGCTATTGCCAGCCACTGCGGCATGAGTTTGATCCCTGGCCAGGGAGCTGAACCACATGGCGCAGCAAGCGAGATTGGAGAGGTTTGCTGTGCCTCTCCTTTCTCGCCTGCTGCTCCTCTCAACAGTGTATTCCAGTAGATCTGCCTGTTCTGTTCCCCACTGTCTCTGGTAATTCCTTTCACTCACCACCTCTGGACTACACCCCAGTTCCTATATGCCTAAATAAATAAACAAAAACCAAAAGGACAAGAAATAACAAGTGTTGGCATGAATGTGGAGAAAAGGGAAGCCTCATATACTGTTGATGGGACTGTAAACTGGAGCAGTCACTACAGAAAACAGTATGGACATTCTTAAACATTTAAGAATAGAATACAGTTTGATCCAGATATCCTATTTCCAGGTATTTATCACAAGAATACAAAAACATTGTCTTAAAAAGATATTATGTAACCCCATGTTTGTTGCAGCATTATTTAAAATAGCCAAGATATGGAAACAATCTAAGTATCCAGTGATGGATGAAAGGATTAAAACAGATGCAATAACTATACACAACAGAATACTACTCAGCTATAAAAAGATAAAATCTTGTCATTTGCAATAACACAGATGGAATCTTGAGGGAATTATGCTAAGTGAATTAAAAAAACCCAACCAACCAAACAAACAAAACCCTTAGATACAGAGATCAGATTGATGGTTACCAGAAGGGAAAGAGGTTGGATGAAACTGGGAACGATGGCAAATTATATGTTGAGAAATAGAAACTAGGCTTTTGGTGGTGTATGATGTAGTATATACAGGTGTCGAATTATAATGCTGCACAATGAAGCTTAGTTATAAACCAAAGTAACTCCATAAAAAATGATACATGAAAAAGTACCAACTCACAGAGTTAAAATTTCTCAGGGTTAATAAAAATGTCTGCATAAATATGAGCCATAGCAACAGTGATGCCAACGTAATTAATAGCTAACAATGGACGGGTGAGATGTTACTACTAATACTAACGTTAATCATGGCCTACTCAATAATTATAAAATTTTAGCTGGATACAAAAGGAAATGACTGAAAAATAGTAGCCAGAGCAAAAGAAAGTCACTGGTATTTCCTCTGTAGTATACTGTGACATCAATGACCATTTAAAACATTATTCGATATTTAGCAGCATGTTTTATGCATTCTGAAAACACGCCCAGCACACGAGAACTGATTTTTAAATGATCGTAAACACATATCAATGTATACAGCAGGAGCACAAAAATGATGCATTCCCACCTTTGTGATCCTTATTTTGATCTCATTCTCTTTCATTAGTAAAGCATTATTCCATTAAGGTTTTGACTTAGAACCATTACTCTCATCTCCAGCAATGAATATTAATACCAGTAAGGACACTGAGATGGGAAGCTGTGATATTCTGGAGACAGAAGGCGACCAGGACAATAAGAATGAGGTAGACTGCACTTACAGAGGAAAACCCAATGGAACTATTTTGTTTCAAAAGGGCATTAATCACTTACCGCAAAAGCACACAACTGCCAAAAAAGATCATCCCACACACAGCAGAAAACACCAATACTAAGAAAAAATATGGCACTTACTTCAATGAGGAAGGCTGTAGCACTTACTTGATTAATTTCATTGGTTAGCTGAGATAAAATTGTGACGCCAATAATGCAGTATTCAACACTATCCTGGTAGAAAAAAGTGTAAGGTAGAAAGAGTTGGCGTACGTTGCTTGATTTCAGCATTTGGAATGCAGTCATACTTTTGAAATGACAGAATCCTGTGTCACTATTAAAACTGCCTAGACAAGGTAGCAAGAAATTGTAGTTTAAAACTGTTGCTTTGCAGAATATAAAACCTAATTGCCATAAAGGAAGACTGCTAAATGTGACTTCATCAAAATTGAAACCTTTTGTATTTTGAAAATATTCATAAACATTGTTACACACGTTAAAAGAAGAGAAACTAAACCTGTTTACAATACATGACAAATGAACCCATAACACAATTTACAAGAACAGATACCACAGTAAGAAAAAGACAAAAAACAATAAAAAATGTACATTAGATATAAATAGAAAGTTCATAGAAATACAAAGTAGAAATGAACGAAAATTTGCTCCTTTTGATCATAACCCAAACTCAGATACTATTCTTTTTATCTATTAGAAAAATAGAAAAGTTGAGCTCCAAGAGTAGAGGTACAGAGAAATAGGCATCCTTTTATATGTTGGAAGAAGTAGCTTTTTTGAGGGTAATTTGGAAATATGTTTGAATAGTTCCAAGGCTAGAATTCACCCTACAAACACACTTAAAGTATGTCCAGACATATATACTAGGATATTCACCAAAGTATTCTACCGTCAAAATATACAAACTAAACGCCCACATGTAAGAGTGGTTTATGTTTCAGATTGGAACAGTATGAAGTGGGATTAGAAAGAATTAAGTGGGATTTGTTTGTGCTAATGTGTAAACATGCAAAGCCAAGATATGTTAAGGATAAAGGAGACACAGAAGACAATGTACCAAATAACCACATTTTGTGTAATTTAAAAAAGTAGATCCACATAAAAGCAAGTACATACAGGTGACTTCTCACATTTCTATTACAGCAAAATTATATGCCGTACCTGTAAAAACCTTGTGACATCTGTGATTGCATTTCTGAAGACATAGTCGTCCTTCTGACAGTCAAACCAGCCCAGTTTTGTGATTCTGGCATATAACTGAATAAGTGCTTGTGTCACAAAAGTAGCCAACTTTGGCCTAGTGGCAAGGTAGTTGAGCACATAGTTTCCTGTAAGATAAAGTTAACCTATATAATAGAAAGCTATGCCAGGGAAGGGTGCACATCATTAATTGTGATAAATGTCCAAGTAATGGTAATTATTTTTTACTCTAAACTCCCTTAATTCTTCATGCTACTGATAAATGGGATTTTGAATTTAAGATTAGTAGGTTTTTCAATTAAGATTTTTCATTGTGACAAGTATAAAATTCTGAAGTATAGCAGCCTTGGTTCTACCCGTGGATGGTTAAATAATATGATCTGCACAGGAAAACCCTGAACAAAGTTTCTCTTAATTACTAGGTTGAGTAAAGAATGAATGAAAGAAGTCTTTTTACAAAAAAGGGGATGAGTCAGGCTTTACCTAGAATTATTATATTGGGCCTTCTTCACTTTCATAAATCCAAAATTCTAGGGGGAAAAAAAAAAACCCAACAACCCTGGATTCTAGATATCCTATATGCTTAGAGATTCAAAACATTATCAAACAAGAAACATAAATTTAAGTATTACTAGTGCATATCTAAACAAACTGATTTCTTTAAGAGAGGACAGACAATTCTTTACTTACGAATATCTATTCGTTGCTCCAGCGGTAGAGGGTTGTTTGTGCGTGATACAAGCTTTGTAAGGCATGTAGCTGCCAGTAACTGGGAGTAAGATGACTGTGAAAAGAGAGGGGGAAAGTTTCAACAAACAAGTTTTTTGAGTTAGTCAGTCATAAGGACATTAACTTGGAGATAGGTGCTCAGATTCAAGAAAAAGTAAACAGCTGTGCTTCACGTGAGCCTCTGGACTTTAGAGGGTCTATTGTTCTAAGGAAAAATTAGTCTCATCAGTGACATATGCTTATTTAGCTGATTTCATTCACGAACAAAGGGCAGGAGAAAGTGAATGGAATAGATGCTGGATGGGGTCTTTTCAGAAAAGTACTAACATCTTTAGAAGACAAATCTCTTCTTTCATTTAAAACAAGAAATCTCCCTTCAAAAGCTTTCTTACAATGATGGCACAAAAAAGTTTCCCCTCAAAGTATTTCTATATTATGGTATTAGGGGAAAAAAGTATAAGAGAAAGAACTACCATATAACGCTATACAGCTAATCCCCAAACTATATCTTTCCATCAGCATGGCTAACAGTCAGCTACAGTTTGGGGGGAAACACACACACACACACACACACACACACACACACACACACACACACACAGACACACACAAGTAACTTCGTAACAATTATGAGAAAGAAAAAGTATGCCCTAAATCAATGGCATAGCATTATCATATTCTCAAGTGTAGATTTTAATTAACTTTAACCTTGTGGAGAATCAGAGTATTCTATCTGACCATATATATATGAAGGAGCCATGTGAGAATTCCTCCACAATCCCCAAACATGGTTTAAAGTGAGTAGAGTGGTTATATCAAATCAATAATATGCAAGGAGAGGATACGATAACCATAGAACATAGTATTTAACTATGACTATATATTATATAAGATGTAAATTGTTTTTACACCTAATTCCAATAAATCCTTGACCCTTAGATTAAGTAAGATATTTTGGGACTCCAGTGGGAGTCAACCAGAAGAGCTAGTTTTGCAGCTTCCATAGTACAAATGTAAGTGGGACAATCTTAAGAAGCAGTAATTGAGAAATACACAAAATGTTACATGTGAAAAGAGATCAGAACACTATACAATCTGACCATGACTCTCTAGGTACTTAGAATTAGCTATCTCAGCTACTAAAGGATACTCCTTAGCCAACTAGAATTTGTTCTATTTACTTCATAAATACTAAAATAATATGAAAATTCAAAAATTCTACCCGTTCAACAAACTAATGACTTTCGTTCTCTTCACATTTCCTTCCAGTCTGAAGAATAATGCCAGCTCCCTCTCACTGCCATGTCTTCTCATGATACCATGCCTAGCATTATCATATTCTCAAGTGTAGATTTTAAGGAATTTAGATGACCTTTATCTAATAATAAAAATTTATAGTTTTCTTTATTTGATGTGTTAGAAGACAAAATGATAGAAAGTTTAAAATATCATTATCCAAAGCACAAATGAGACAACCATGCCTGGTTGGATTCTTACCCTTCCTAAGACCCCCATCTTGCCAAAAACACTAATTTAACCAAATTATGTCTCATTGAAAGCATTAATTTGATCACTGCATTGCCATTTTCAAGCTAGAAGACTAATTCCGTTTTAGAAACTGTCATTCTTGTGCTTTTCATGGTCATTATCTCCCCCTACAAGTCTAAGGCATTAAGGGAACGTGGTGTGGTCCAGAGGAAAAAGAGATGACCAGGGATTTTGTAAGGTGACAGGGACTCTATGGCTAAGAAAGGTGATTTATAAACAGCTCTGTCTTCTTTGTAAAGGATATGAGACGGTACGTAAGTGTAAAAACAGAAAAGGAGTCCCAGAAACATGATTCAAGGTGAAAAAGGACAAAATACATGTACCAAAAAATTTTCCTGATGAGGCTGGCTGGCCCTTTGCCATACTGTTTGGTGTGGTTCTTTTTGAAAGTGAGATAAGGAAGGAAGATTCCTAGAAAAAATAAGGGATAGAAACAATCCCAATCTACCCCTAACTTAGAACCAGAATGTATTGGCTAAACCTCTGCTACTCTTCATGAGTCTCATATCTTACGTACACTTCCTCTCTCGAGAAGCAGCTGGCACTTGCTCAGGCAATCAGGGCTGTTGGTGAATTCAACCAAGGCTTTCTCTGCCTGGAGTCGAGTGGTTGTGTCTGTCGTTTCATACAGCTGTTTGCACAGGTTCTCTAGTTGGGCCAGGCTCTGGAAAAGATCAATCAAGAGAGAAATCAGACCTGCCTATTTTATATGCAAGGCACTGTGTTAAAAATTACTGGGCAAAAATAAACAATAATCAGTGAAGAGAGGACTTGCTTCTCAACTCTGAGGAGAATGTAGATGACCTTTAATCATAAAAATTTATAGCTCTGTATTTGATGCTTTAGAAGACAACATGATAGAATGCTTAAAAATGTCATTATATAAAGCACAAATGATAACATTTTCCCTCATAAATATCCATTCTCCTTTTTTTCCAAAAGACTTTATCAAAATTCAGAATTTACTTGTCCTTCCATCAACTTCAAAATTATGAATACCAGAGGCAATAATAAAATTAAAGCACATAAACACACAATATAAGTGCCACACATATCTTTTCTTAGTTTTAAAATATTTTCCCTTTTTGTAGTAATTATCAGCTTACAATTACACGTATGTACAAAGGTGGCCAACCTCTAGAAGAAAGTTTCAGAACATATGTACGCACCTTCCTCCCTGGGTCCCTCATGTCTAAAGTTCAGCAGACTCCTCTGTTGTACTTTAAACTCTTGCTTTGGTTCCAAATTTAAATGGAAGGGTCAAAATAAATTCAACCCTAGCATATGCTCACACAGAGATAAGACAAGGGAACCGCCCCCAAACAAACCCTTCTCTTCAAATCTTGAACCAGTTCCAGGGAGGCAGGAAGGTGATGGGTGTGTGCTTTGGTCAAAAACCCAAAAGGATGCAAACTACTTCCAGAAAGGCAGTGTTTAAAAGCAAAGAGGAAAGGAACTCACAAAGAGTTCACTTAACAATCACCTTTCACTAACTGAAGAGGAGGACAAACATCTGTTAGTCTTTAAGAATGGTTTGGACTTTAAGAAGAAATCTGAGTCCATTTTCAACAGTAGCAAGCAAGAGTTAGTTTATTTCATTTCTACTATTAAAAATACAATTTCTGACAAGAACAAAAATACTATTATATCTGATAAACAAAACTGTTTAAATAGTAAAAAATGTACTACACAATTTGCCTAAAATTGCCCTTTATGCCATTATGCTACTATTGGGGTTTGGTGCATGGGGTTCTTGGGTGCCTCTTAGAGTGAATTCAGCAGTCTGTTTAGTGGCATACAGCAAGTTTATTAAGAAAAAAAGATGTCTGCATAGACACAGATGGGCGTTCCATCACTGTGACTTTGTAAAGCACACCTATTTCACAAAGTAGGAAGGCCACCTTAAGGCAGGATACGGTTTTACTCAACGGGATTAATTTCAAACATTAAAGGAAACAAGAAAGACCGACATTCTGAGATGATACCAGTCTTAATTCAGGGCGCCCTCCCTCCCCACCAAGAGCAAAAACAACAACCCTCAGCCTAAAGTGAAACAAGCTACCCGTCAAACGTCTCAGGGCTTTAACGAGGCTTATTTTAAGTTATTCTCGTACTTTCGTGGGTTCCACTTAATACTTTCTTCAACTCAAAAGCAGAGAAAACTGCACTTGCAAAGTCAGATCTCAAGAATGAGGTTCAATAAACAGTACCTGATTTTTTTTTTCTCACTTAGTTTATAAATACAAGAGAGGACATAGCTAATCAGCTACATGTATTCCATAAGTACATGTGAGTCAATGATAGGATGACCAGTATGGGCTCAAAGGCCCAAGACAAATGAATGGGTTCAATTACAGACTCCCAAATTTTTAATCAAGAGATTAAATCTCCTTCACAAGGTTTTGTTTCAACCTGGCAAGCTATTTCCCCCCTTCCTATAAAATAATTCCCTTAAAAGGAACACATTATTTAAAAAAATAGGTAACAGAAGATATCAACAGACAGACACCTTGAAAGACAGTTACAAAATCTGGTATTAGGGAGCAGCAGCAGCTTCATAACTTCCAAAGCCACCACGTGCTATGAGTTTTCCAATATCCAGAACAGACACTCCAACACCCATGCCACTTAGATGTAATGATTCTTCTTCGAGTCTGATCAATCAGTTCCAGCAGCTCCCCCAGTGCACTCTTGTTTATGTTTATTACAACAAAATTGTTCACATGACAATGGCTAAGCATCTGTCACCAGCAGTTCCTAACTGTTAAAAACCTACATGCAGGTTATGGTAGGCTTTTTGGTGGCTGTTTTGTTTTGATTTGCTTTAATTTAGCAGGCAAAAACATACTGCAGGTAAGTCTGGTAATGAGTTCTCAGCTCAGAAAATAAAGCCTTTAAGAACAAAAAAGTAATTTGACCATTTACACAAACAGTTTGAAGAACGATATAGCTCTATTTTTTTAATTCCAGAAGAACGAATGGGAAACAATTTTGTTTTCCTAAACAATTAGTGAAAACATCAAAAAGCTACAGGGTTAAGAGTCATTTTATTTGGGTTGCCCACAAGACGCATGGAAGGAGATGGGAACGAGACATTTACATATACTTTCTGTTGGATCATTTTGTTTCCAACTCAAATCTCATGGCTAGATTATTTTGAATTAGTTCTTTTTTTTTTTGGACCCCAAGTAAACAGTATGTCCTGTAATTATTTGATTAGTTATTAAAAGTAGAACTTAATAATACCCTATTTCCCTCCTTTGTGAATTAACACCTACATTAAACTTCCCATTCACCAGTTCTGATTAGGGATATCTATTGTGCAATGCCAGTGAGTTCCCAGAAAAGCCTCCAAAAAACAATTTTTTATTCCTGCAATTGCTAAACTTATAACCCAATTTCCATCTGGTCCCAGTGGAACAGAAAAGTATGTTTGGGCAAAATACTCATGAAACAAACTGGAAGGTGGTCTTCAACTAGACAAGTACTGTTTTAGTATAAGAAACTCAACAATCAAACCCTCAAACCTAGACCACACAGATTCACCAACAATAGTTAAAATGAAATAATTTATCTTCTTTACTATGTAGCAGCAACATTAGTCTTTTTAACCTGGAGAGAAAAATGCAGCTCAATTATTCTCATTTTAGCACAAAGTACTACCAGTTGAAACTACCAACCTCAGAATAGGACTGATCTAAAGAGCTGCATGTAGATTAAAGGGAAATGAGGCTTTGTGTATACAAGAGATGTTATATTACCCCACAAAGCAAAATGCATAGAAATTAGTTTTCTTTCATTTGTGAAACATTATTTTTTAAAAAGCCTAACATAAACATTTACATGAGCCTCACTGCTTAAAAAACAAACAAACAAACAAAAAAACCTGTTCATAGATTTCCAACCAGAGACTAGGATACTGTTAGGGGGAAGAGTGGGTGAGGACCCACAGTCAGGCAATCCATTTCATCTCTTTCATCTCTGTGTTGCCCTGAAACAATACCACCTTTTAAGAAGGATTTGATGCTATTTCCCCAGATGCTGAGTACTTAATTAGAAAGCAAGCATCCTGGGATGACTAGTTAGATCTAAAGGTTCTCTGTAGTACACACCCTTAATCTGACAGCCACCTGAAAACATCTGAAATGATCAAGCCACAACCCTATTACAAAGTGCAAAGTGCAGGCTCAATCCAGAGAAGTTCTCATATAGAATCTAGAGTAGAACTACCAGTTTAGTAGCTCAGTTTTCATGACTAGTATGTCCTAAATAAACCATTTTTAAAGATCTACAAGGTTAATAAAATTAATACACTAGTTACATTTTATTTTTTAAATCTATTTAATAACATTCTTACTGTTAATGCATATTAAATTATTATACATAGTATTTAAAAATATTTCTAAAAATTCAGTAATTATTGTTAGGTTAAAAAAAGCAAGAGGTAAGGTAGTGAGTATATAATTGGTTATATATGTTAGCGAATTCATGTAAGAAAATACGAACGAAAACAACATGAACAGCTATCTCCCGTAGATGAGATAATGGGAAACTTTCAATTTCTATGTTAAAATATTTAACTTTTGAATTTGGCTATAACCATGTACTTGTGAACAGGAAAAAACAAAAAACAACAAAGAAAAACCCCAATATCTGTACAGATAAAAAATTTTTTTAAGGGCAATTTAAGCTAATTCTTTTTCTAAACTTACTCTTCTAATAAAAAATTATAAATTAACGGCTGATTTTTTCCAACTAGATTTCCTAAAACAAATCTGTAAGACTGGAAATTTTTACTACTTTCATTCTGTTCTTTCTTACCAATAATAAATGTTCAGTTTAAATGTACTTAAAAAAAAATTCCATCTAAGGTTCCTCTTCTCTATGAAGTTATTTAGAAGGGAATCTTGTGGGCTAAACCATTTTACTGCTATACATATATCTGCAGATCTATACTAAGTTGATGACTACAGTGGAGTCAATGGGTGGGGGGAGAATCAGCTAGTTTGGACTTTAATTATTTTGTAATTTGTTTTATGGATGAGAATATTTATAAATGCAAATTATTTTTAAAAGTTAAAGAAAAAAGTTTACAAAGCCAGTGCAAAAACCTGAATATGTACTTTCCAAGAGGATAGCCAAATGACCAATAAGCAAATGAAAAAGTGCACAACCTCAATAATCATGAGAAAATTTAAATTAAAATCATAATGAGATATCAATTAGAATGATTAAAATGAAATAGTCAAGATCAAGTGTTGGTTAGGCTGTAAAACAACTGGAGCTCATACACTGCTGGTGCAATCTAAAGTGGTTCAAAAACAGTGGAAAATGGTTTGGCTGTATTTCTATTTTTGAGGTAACAATAGTTTCAGAGGAATAGGTCCGTACCTCCTTGGTTGTACATCACCTATCCCAGAGCACCCACAGACCTTCATGTAGTCATACCATGGGCCCCTTCTTCCTCTAGCAGCCTCTGTTTTGCAGTCATTTCTAGATTTTGTTTTGGATTAGTTTTGTTAGTTCCTTTGTTTTGTTTTTCTATATTTCACATGAATAAAATCATCTAGTATTTTGACTTTCTCTCTCTGCTTCACTTTGTGTAGTCCCCTTCAATTCTACCCATTTAATATTTGCTTTTAAATATGATTACTTACACAATTA